CTCAAGTCTAAGGCCTTCCTCCACAGCCAAGCGCGTCTGCTGGGGCTCCAGGCAGCCAGTGGTTTTTCCAGACTCACCCAGCACAACAGGGCAGAGCCCCGGGTCTTGTTACTGCACAAGCAGACAAGATTTTCCATAGTCACCTTTTTTTTTAAGTTCATTTATTTATTTTTAGAGGGGAAAAGAGGGAGAAATAGAGTGAGGGAAACATCAATATGTCACAGAAACATGAATTGGTTGCCTCTCACATGCCCCCAACTGGGGACGTGGCCCACGACCTAGACATGCATTCTGACTGGGAATCGAACTGGCGACCTTTCAGTTCACGGGCCAGCACTCAATCCACTGAGCCACACCAGCCAGGGCTTCCCTGGTTACTTTGGACTGTTTTGCTCCCCCTGAGTCCCTGCTGAGTACAGGGAATCCCACCTTTGGGTGTTTGGTTCCTTTGCCTCACCCTAACTGGGTGAGGGAGTGTCCCTTCTTCTAATAGTTTATTGTGCAGAATCCCGACCTCATCACAGGTTTACAATAATAAATTCAAGATTTAAGATGTAAGTATCTATATTAAAAAACACCACACTTAATATACGAATCATAAAGATGAATGATGTATGATGATTTTTGTGAATTTTTTCCTAAACGGCACAAGACTGTGGCTAGTCTGAGAACTGCCTTGTGACGATTCTTTATTAATAAGACATTCACCTGCTCAGAGAGTGAGATATCCTCTGCATAACAAATACTTGACTGTATTTCACTGAAAATGTCAGCAGTCTTTCCCTTCAGACATGTTTAAAGAGCAACTGCAGAGCACAAACAACTGCCTTTCTCAACATGCTCCAACAGAGGGGAAATAGAATTGTAATGAAGTCCACGCAGGCTGCAGGCTGCTTCTCCAAACACGACAGTAAAAACACTTTCCTCGCTGTCTAATCAGCACCGGCGGAGATGGCTAATTATCCTAAATCAGAACAGGAGGCCTCTGAATTCAAGAGAGAAAGTTGCCAGTTCATTTTCAGGTTTACCTCTAAGTCTCCAGTCACAACACAGCAATGGACAGACCGCACTTCAACATGGAAATGACCTGTTCCCCGTTCTCCTTCATGGAGACAGAGTTAGGACTTTCATTACCTAGGGTGTTTCCCGTCACGGTCCTGCTTGTCATTAGCTGCCTGCCTCTCGGGCTCGTCCCCTCTAGGATGGCCTCTCCACTCTGCCACGAGCATGCTTTTCCTACGGTTTGTCATTCACATTTCAACGCCTCATGTTCTATTATCTAGTTTACATTTTTATTGTGCTCAAATCTAAATTGATTTGTGTCTCTAAGCTTGTTCATGCCCTACACATTAATAGCTGTGAAAGCACACATATGGTTCACTGTCGCACTATAGAAAATGTTCAAGAAACTTACCTGATAAAGGACTTGCATGGGGAATATGTAAAGGACACTGAGAATTTAATAAAAAGAAAAAAACAATCCAGTTTAAAAATGGCAAAAGGTTTAGATAGGCACCCTGCAAAAGACAATACGCCAATGGCTGATAAGCCCATGATGATGACGATGATGATATGTTCATCACTAGACATCAGACAAATGCAAATTAAAACCCCAATCAGATACCACTACACACTAAAATTTAAAAGATTAATAGTTCAAAGTAGGTGAGGATGTGGAATAATTCAAAGTATCATACAATGCTGGCAGAAATGTAAAACTGTACAACCAGATTATAAAAAGAAAACAAAAATCCTAGCATTTCCTTAAAAGTTTGAAATATGAGGTTTGTATGGAAAAAGTTCAGCCATTGTTAATACAACAAGAATGGTTTGCATGACATGGATGTAACCTGGCAGCCTAAGAGCGTGGACTGGAATGTGCAAGCATGTACAGTGATGATTTCACTGTACTGGTCAGTGGGGGCGGTAGACACTGTTGAATGAACATGTGTGCTGTGTGGCCATCACATTCAAAATGACTGAGCAAGTATAGCAACAAATCTGCATCACATTTTGCGTTAAGCTTGAACTTTCCCCCACATGAACTACTAGGTGATTCAGAGGCTACAGCTATGGGTAACTGGTGAATGGCAGCTTCATCATGACAACGTGCCCACTCATGCATCATGATTCGTGCATAGGTTTTTGGCAAAACATCAAATCAGCCAGGTGACTCAGACCCACTACAGCCCAGATTTGGTGCGCTGAGACTTCTGGCTTTTCCCAAAACTATAATTACCTTTGAAAGGGAGCTATTTCAGACTGAGATTTTTTGATGAGATGTAAAAATCTCGTCAGAAAAATATGGTGGGGCAGCTGATGGCAATTGGGAGAACTGTGTGAGGTCCCAAGGTGCCTACTTTGAAGGGGACTGAGGCATTGTCCTGTATACAATGTTTCTTGTATCTTTTCAATAAATGTCTCTATTTTCCACATTATATGGTTGGATACCTTCTGGACAGACCTTGTAGTATATTCAAAGAGCCTGATTATTTATCTAGTATACATATATGCATTTGACCTAGAAATATACAGAGAATAAGTAGGGTTAAAAATACAGTTACTACAAAACCCAGCAATTTCATTTCTAATTATTCATTCTAGAGAAATGAAAAAATATGCCCCCCCCAAAGGCTTGGACATAGATGGCCTTAGGGATGCGGACAATAGCAAGCTTCTCCCTAAATGACAGGGCATTCTAAAAGCCGAGCACATGCTGAAGGGGTGGGGGTAGGCAGCAGCCTCAGGTCCGCTCTCTTGCTTCCCCTTGGAATGGGGCCACTGCCTCCTTTCACAGCCTGATATTGGTGTGCTGCACTCAACGCAGGGCTTCGGTTGCATAGTGGGGATCGGGCAGCAGAGAACGTTAACCAAAAAAGAAAACGTGCTTTTGCATTTACATAGATCACTGTCTTTGCTTTTGAGGCCTGCCACACCACCAACCCTGGGTGAAGGTAATTCACAATAAAACCAAAGCAGAAAGTTACCAACAGACTGGGACAGGTCGAGGTTTCACTTTTCCTTTTTGACCACTTCGCCCCAATTCTGTTACAGAATAAACAGACTCTGCTTCATCTGCATAAAGAGAGGGGTCTGTGGCTATCAACAGATGCACCCTCAAACTAGTTTAGGTCAAATTCATGTGACCAAAGGGGGAGTTGCAGCCAAGTCCTCGCCAGTACGATGACATTGAATATGAGCACGCCTTGTTTTATTGCACTTAGCTTCATGGTGCTTCACAGTGTTGGAATTTTTTACAAACTGAAGGCAAGACCCTCCACCAGCAAAAAAGATTGCAACTTGTTTTACTGCGACATTCACTTTATCAATGGTCTGGACACGACCCCGCTCTGTCTCTGAGGTATGCCTGTCTTCTGGAGCCTGAAAGCCAGTCTCACGACACTGTTACACCAAGGAAAACACTGAGGGCCCACAGTGGTATCCAGACAAAGCGCAATTCTTACCTTGGACAAGCTTCTCTTGGTTCTTTACAGACTGTGGTAAGCAGAAAAGCTCCCCCAAGATGTCAGCACCCTGATGCTTGCAACCTTTGAAAATGTTATGTTAAATGCAGCCATCAGGTTATAGAGACTAAGATTGGGAGATTATCCCAGATGACCTGGGTGCACCCCATCTCATCATGGGAGGCCTTAAAAGCAGTGAACTTTCTCTAGCTGGAGCAAGAAAGAAGGGAGGTTCGCTGCTCTTACAAGCAAAGACTGGTCCCCAGCTGACAGCGAGCAAGGAAGTCGGGGACTCAGCCTACAGCTACAAGGAACTGAGTTCTGAAAACAACCTGAATGACCCTGGAAGTACAGGCTTCCCCCGGGCTCCCTGGAAATGCCTGGGCCAGCTGGCAGTCTGATTTCAGCCTCGTGAGGCCCTCAGCAGATGACCCTGCGGGGCTTGGCTGTGCCCACATGTCTAAGCTACGTAAATGTGATGTAATAAATGTGTGTTGTTTTTAAGTCCCTAGGTTTGAAGTGATTTGTCCTGGCAGCAATAGAAAAGTAATACTTAACACATTTTTAAACAAAGAAGCAAGTAAGCAGAATTCTAAGCCAAAGTGACTTTGAGTATCATTTTTTCCCTCACTGCAATTAAGTGATGTAGGAGTCTTTGAGTTCTTTGCTCAATAGTTACAATGTGTACTCCCCACTGTGCCCCACTGTATGGAGACTGAGGCTCTGGTCAGGGGATGTTCTCTCCAAGGCGTCTGAGGACACACTGGGATGGAGAATGAGCGTCAGGGAGACAGGACTGCCGCAGGAGGACCAGTGAGGAGGCTACCACTCCCTCAGCAGAGGGACTTGGGGGCGTGGTTTATCTGGTACGGAGATCGGATTGGAGAGGGAGATGCTGATACTTAATGGCTCTAGAAAGGATGGTCAGCGGGTGCCAGTCCCAGTGAATTAAAGACAGAACTCAAGAGGAGGACTAGACTTGGGGAAAGATGATCATAAAAGTTTAGTTTGGGACAGGTTGAGTTTGAGGAGCTCAAGGAACATCCAGGTGGTATCCAGCAGGTCAGTGAATACTGGAGAAACAAACTCAGCTGATTCTTAATTTGAAAATTATTAACATATAAGTTGATAAAATCATGACAGTGAATGAGATAACCCAGAAGAGACATATGCGTTTTCTTTTGCTTTAAAGGGTAAGAAAAGGAATGAAGAAAAGGTATGTACAGAAAGTAACAGAAGGTTTCTTTGCTTGAGGTAATTAGAAAATGATTAGAGGATTCCTCTTAGAGGAGAAAGAGGAGGTAGTTGGGAGGCGTGAAGCTAGAGAATGGCCACCAGTGAGCACTGCCAGCCCAGGACGACTAGATGCTGCCTGGGTGAATGATGACGTGGCCGCTCATAGCACAGACACTACCAGAGGGAAAGGGGCGTGGGGCGGGTGGAAAAGGGGGTATAAATGGTGATGGATGGAGGCTCGACTTTGGGTGATGAACACACAATATAATATACAGATACTGTATTATAGAACTGCACATCTGAAACCTAATAATTTTATTAACCAGTGTCACCCCAATAAATTCAGTGAGAAAAAGTACATATATAAAAGCGGGAGGCACAGGAAAAGATTACAGTGTTCAACTAGCCACTTGTCCCCAGGGAGCTTGGTAATAAGCTGGTGTCAGTAATTCGAGCAATGTTAACACTGTGTTCCTCTTGGGTACATTCATTCAGTGAAGACTCAGCTATTACAAAACCATTTACGGGGATACTGGAGACTCCCCCCCACCCCGTTTCTGTGAAAGCACTGCTATCTGAAACAAGACTGCAAGATCCATTAGCTCATACAGTAGCCACCTCTGCAAGAACGGTTTCCTCACGAAAGCTCACACTGACTTCTCCTGATGCCCTTTCTGGGTCCCAGCCTGGGAAAGCGCAGGCAGGCTGCACTCACGGCAGGGAGGGAGACCAAGTGCCCCCCGCCCCCACAGAGCACAGGAGGGCTCCCTGCTGCACTGCCAGCTGTGAGAAAGCAGCCATCGCGGGGAAGGACCGCTTTGGACACAGTGTTCCTCATCTTCCCAGCTGGTCTGGACAGGCTCAAAAAGAATTAAAGTTTAACCCACTCCAAAGCATCAAATGATTACTTTGGGCCACAGGACCAGATGCTATGCTTCATTATCTTTCCTGAAGCCTCTGGTTTTGGCTAAGAATAAACACAGCTTTCAAAGTAAACTCTCTAACACACCTGACTCAAGCTGCACGTCTGAAGCATCTCCAATATCTTTTACTGTTTGCCTTAGACACAGACCCAGTGTTGCTGCATTCAGACACATTTCTAGGACAAGGATTAAAAATACGTAAGTATATTTTTATCCTCCTCTGTATCAATGCCAAACACACGCACATACAGAAAATGTTTAGATCACATACTAAGTTATAACATTCCATGTTTTAATATTAACAAGAACATACATGATCATTTCCTGAGTTGACAGTGCAATGTAAAATTTAATCTGTATTGCTAAGATATTTTACAGCATAGAAACATGATCAAAATGATCGTTTACTTTATCAAGTCATAAAACACAGGAGCTCATTGTCGAACAGTGATACAATTTAAATGGCAAGGAGCTGTACGATTCATAACAAACCACCTGTATGGGTTTGTTGCCATGACTGACTTTCCTGACCGAAAGTCAATAGTAAAGTAAGTTATGGTACAAAATAAAGCCAACAGTTACCTATACTGAAGGAACATTTGATTTCATTTGAGAAACTGAAGCCTGGAGCCTGGTTAACCTTTCAATATATAAAAAAGTTGTCTTAAAAAACCCTAAGCAATCACAAATTTAGATAAAACAGCTGAGTAACAGACAGTGACGGCTCTTCATCATCCTGTAAAACTATGGACCTCATCTTTGGAAAAGTTCAGATCGTGCAGCACCCTGAAAAAACAAGTACAAAGCAAACGAATCTTAGGGAAAATGTTTATAAATAAAGAAGTAAATTCAAAGTTTATAATCATAAATATAGTACTTAAAAAACACAATTATCACTCCTAAAAAATTAATGGTAATTCTTTAATATCATCAAATATCTAGTCACTTCAATTTTTCAATTGCAAATAAAGGCCATAAATTTTAAAAGTTTGTTTCAATAAAGATCCGATTAAAGTCTACATCTTATGATTAGCTGATAAATCTTTCAAGTATCCTTTCATAAGATTCCCCTCCATCTCTCTCTTTGTCCTGCCATTCATTTGACCAAGTAAGACTTCTCCGTGCCAAGTCACCCCCAGCCCTCATTTCGCTGCGTCCCTGTGGTACGTGTTAATGATATGTACTCCATCCTCCTACTGCCCATAATTTAATACTTGGATCTAGGGGATGGATCACACACAGGTTAAATTCTTGTTGACAAGACTCCTTCATACGGAGTATTCTTCCATCAGGAGGCATGTGTGGTTGCTTCTCTTTCTTAATGCTAACGACTATCGATGACCTACGTATAGATCCATTATCAGTTCATTAGGGACTGAAATTGGTGATATTCTACTTCTGTCACATTCTTTCTTCATTTATAAGCTGAGAAAGTCTATAAAAAATCTCATTTATTATGCGGCTGCCCTGTAGTATAGCTCATATAGAAAAGGCTAAATAAACGCTGGCGTTCCCCAACCTCTATTCACCAGTTTTCAAAGTAAGCAGGAGACGCCCGCAGCACTGCACCTTCACTCTCTCCACTGAACCGAAAAGCAGAAACACTTGGACGACACTCTAAATGAAGACACGTCTTACAAACAGCTGTTTAAAATGCTCCTGAACATAAGAAACATTTATCTAGTACTTACTCTCTGAGCTAAGCACTTCACATGTGAGTATTACTTATTTCCTTTCACAGGCGAGCACAATAAAGCTTAGACGGGTTAAGTAGCTGACCTAGGACACCCAGGTAACGACAGTAAGATGACTGTAGGTGGCAGAGATGGAATTCAAACCCAAATTAGCAGCTTCCTGAGCACACACACGTGTCCTGGCCAAAGAAAGACCAGGATGCATGGCGCGACACGCCCCTCCCCATCTGGACCCACTGACCCGCCTTCCCAGCTGTGCCTCCTGTCTCCCCTGGCAAGTGGCTTCACACCGGCCACGCCAGTCTAGTCTTCTGAACACCTGCATCTCTGTCCCATCTGCTCCTTCTCACCCTGCCTGTACCACGCTTCTCCGCCTCCTCTGACTAGCGACGTTTTAGTCCTCATTCAAAGCACAGGCCTTTCTGACTGTAAGTGGAGTTATCTCCACCACGCACACCCCAAGGTGAGAGTAACTGGTCTCTCCCTGCGTTTCCGTAACACCTTGTGTTTATTCCTAGTAAGAGCATTTATGGTGCTGTGGTCACATTTCAGTTATCCGTCTGCGTGTCTGTTTCCATCACGAGAAAGCTGGGCCTTGAGAGCAGAGCCTGTCTCATTCGTCTCTATAATAAACAAGGTGGGCATCTAATGGATAAAAGAAACGTTACTGGCCAAATAGTTTTGAGCTTTTATTTATATGAAGGAAATAAGTTTCTGAGTTGTCATATCATAAAAACTTGACAAATTTTCACCAAATATGGAGAGCATGTTTGGAGTAGTTATGCTTATACTACAACCTGTGCAGTGGACTAAAATTAACTTTGGGGGGGCACTTAGGAGTGGGTATCCCAGAGAAAGAGTCATATTTCGGGGTAGAAAACACTATGATATCGTAAGAGAGCCACGTACCTGCCAAGTAAGAGAGCTATGTCACATCCATTACAAGGGTGAGGACGGGAAACCAAAGAAATAAGAGTCCTGGGCTGAAATTCACGAGGGCTATGAACTGCAGGTACTGACTTGAATTAACTACATCCCCCAGGTAAACTCTATGCAGCATGTTTAAGGGTGAGCGGCAGCAGGGATCCACCCACATATGCTGATTGACAACACTCCTGAGCGATTCCGGGCGAGTACAGGATAGAAAGGTCAGCTCTGAGGTAAAGCTGAGAGAATAAAGCTGTAGAGATTACAGTGAATTTTAAAAATGCAGAAATACTGGAACCATGGCTACCTTCTCTTCAGTTACACGTGTACTGAGGCTCCAGTATGCGAGAGCAGGCTAAGCTTTGCATGGAACCAAAATGAAGAGCCCCAGAAGCCGATAATTCCTGGGGGAAAACAACCCACTCCCACACCCAACAAGGGGTTCCTCCTCCGTCAGCGGAAAGTGGACTAAGTGGCCTTAGCATCAGCCTCTTTCTTGAGGAAGAGTTTATGATTCCCATCATTTAAAAGAATTATTATACTGCAATCTCCAAAGTAAACATTAAGATACTTCCAAAATAGAAGTGTCAATAAAGTAGAAGAATGTAGCTCTTAGTCTTTTCTGAAAATTATTTTACTTCAAACCATATTATTAGCCTTCACTAAAATTTTAATAGTTTTCTTTGAATTTAAAAAAGTAAAACTTTAATAGTAATTAAAACTATTTTTAAGTTAAAAGAGCTTAAGTGGAAGTACATTTTCCTGAAAGTATTAAAATCCAGAAATACACTTAAATTTAACCAAAATAGCTTTTAAATTCTAGTAAAAAACACTTTTTTAATATCTATTTACTTTTGAAGCCAAACTTTTTCATAATTAAGATTAAAAATAAAATAGTAATAAATGACTATCTAGAAAATATTAGGTTTAGTCACATACCAAATAAAGAAAAACATGGCATTTAAGGCAGTCATATTTTAAGATCACCTAGAAATCCAACAGTGACTATATTTAACCAATATTTTAAAGTCTCATTTTTTGACTTATTATGTTCTAGCACTGCCTTTTTGACTTGCTGTCTGGCTTTTAATCACTGTATAATTTACTAATTTTCACCCAGTTGCAAAGCATGAAGAAAGATCGAAAGCTACAGTGAGATCACCACTGCTTATTAACTACTAGATGTTACAAAGCTTTGGTGGAAGAAGAGGTTGAATCCAGGGTCCCGGATGAGCTTGTGGCACCAATCCCGTGAACGCACCCACACTGCCAGTGATCAGCAGAGACACAGAGCTGGCTGCTTCTGACTGTTGTGGCCACATCTAACTCTACACATAATCCTGGCTTCCAACCCTCCGCCTGCATTAAGAGTAAAACCTGTCATTTTCTTAGGCTGTAAGAGACTATTAAAAGTGCAGATTTGGCCCTGGCTGGGTGGCTCAGTTGGTTGGAGCATAGCCCTGTGCGCCAAAAAGACTGGGTTCAGTCCCTGGTCAGGATGTGTGTGGGTGGTAACTGATCTGTGCTTCTCTCGTTCTCTCACTGCCACCTCCAATCGATAAAAACATCCTCAGGTGACTTTTTAAAAAGTGCAGGTGCCTATGAGTAGAAGGAACCGAGAGCCAAGTCAGCTGTTTCTTACGGAAGATCTTCATTTCGGTCTCGAGGAGTCTTTTTCTACCACAGCGCTGCTCACCTTATTCCCTGCTCTGTAAATGGCATTGGTCCACAAACGCAGATGAGGACTTTGGATCTGTCTGAACTTCTTTTCAAAAATTCAGAAAGGAGACCTGATGAAATGTATCCCGTTTTGCCATTCCATTCAGAAGTAGGTGCTGAGAGAACAAATTCAACATCAAATCTAGGAAAAAGAAACATGTTTGAAGGTCTATTATGTTAACATAGGATTAACATGTTCAAGTTTACTAAAATATCTTTTTTGCCCTTGAAAGTGACATAATATGTAAAAACTGGTAACACTGGTTAGAAAAGCAGTGGAATAGGTTACACTCAAAGATTTAACAAAAACATACAGGTAAATCCACGTTTACTGAGGATTAGCTTCAGCTACAAATGAGAAGAGGACTTGGCATTTTCTGAACTCAGAAAGAGGTCTGAGGGACCTCAGAGAACTACACATTTCTATTAATAATCTTCTCGTATAAGTCAGAGTAAACAGCAATTACCAGTGACATGCGCCTTTTAATCTCTGACTCAAACCTTTTGACTTCTAGACCCTTATTTACAACCAACAGCCTGTCTGACTTTTTACTATTTCCGCCTCAGCCTCATCTCGTAACCTCCCCAGCCCACACCTGACTTTCCCTTTGGGAATGGCGCCACGGTCCCCCGGTTGCATAAGCCAGGACCTGGGATTTCTCCTGGGACCCCTCTCTGCCTCACCCCCACATCCACATCCTCAGCAAGCCCTTCACCGGCACCACACTTCCATTCTCCTCTTCCTCCCGGAATGCTTCTGTCATCACGCCCCATTCTTCAGTTCTTAGCTAAGCACCACTTCCACTGCAGCCATGGGGTTCTTGGTTCTATGTGTTGTAGAAACAGTTTCCTTTTTCTTTTCCTCATAGAGCTTAGTTCAGGTTTTAAATGCATGGTCTTTAAAACCTGAAGTAAACTTCCTGAGAGCAGAGAGCACCTTCGCTCTGGCTATCACTAAGTCCCTAGTGGCCAGAGGCACGCAAGCACTATGGAATGAAGCACGTGAAAGAGACAGAAAGGGTACAGAATAAAAACGAGAAAGAACATCAAACTAAGCTTCACAGTGTAACTATGGACCATTTTCCCTCCACAGTTTTGTAATCTGTTAAGTGAATGGTTGATGAAGAGCCACGTAAATGATTCAAAATTCTATGCTGTACCTGCTCCCATTACTCCATTTCAGCAAAACACAATGAATTCTTACCATTTTCAATAGTATTACACCAAAGGCATTTCTACACTTTCCAGTGAGTAACTGAGATATTTTCTCATGAGTAGAAGGAATGAATTATATATTAATCTACTAAGGAAAAGTTGCAGTTTCTCTTGTGAGGGGCCCGAGCAGTCAAATATGAGACTGCAAACATGGCGTGGCTGGTGCTGCCGCCCTCACGTGGCTGTGCTGCCCTCGGGTCACGGTTCCCACTGGCTGATGGGCCCAGTTCAGGCACACAGACCAACTCCGGGACAGAGAAGCAGGCCCAGCTCCCACCTAGACCCCAGCCTCTAGGTTTTATTTGTGCATTTGTGGAACAGGTGGGAAAACGACACCATCTCTTATAATTGTAATATTCTGGTTTTATATTTTTTAAAACCTATACAGATTTACATCTTCTTTCTACCTTCAAGGTTCCCATGTAGTCCTAGCAGGTACACAAATCCACCTTATACGAAACAGCCTCCCCAAATACTTTCTTTCACTGACTTACTTTTCCTTTCTGGCTGTGAAATTAAGATAGTTTTAGATAAATTTGGAATGTAATATTTGTTTAATATACCATGAGAGCAAGATCCTTATTTGTCTTGTTCAATGCTGTCCCCCAGCCTGACTCAAGGCAAGTGCATGAAAAACACTTATTGAATGAATAGAGGAATTTATTTACAAAGAAGCCACAGTGACTAAAAATAAAAACTGAGTGGAGGAACAAAGCGGTGAGCTGGCATCTGTAACACCACACAGAAGAAGGCCCGTGGTTCCTACGTGCCTTCTTCTAGGAGGAAGGGCCGCAGCTTTTGTCAGATCAGCCACGGGGACCCAGAGCAGCTGCAGAGCCCCTTCCTGAGGACATTTCCAATTATACACAAGACAGCTGGGTAAAAGATAGCCACTGCCTTGTTAAAATTAAAAAATGTCCCCTGGCTCTGTTTCCAACACATCCATCACTGGAATAAAACTGCTAAGATACATAAATCTGTCATTTGAAAATATTCATAATTTTCCTTTGCTGGGATGCTTTAAAGAAAAGAGCCTAGTCAGTGGCGGCATGCTGTCCGCAGGTGTCTGCTACAGAGTGCTCCGTGCCTGAGACCCTTACATAGAGGCCGAGACCGTCCCGTGCATTTTGTATTTATTCACATAACGGTCCCTTGGCCATAACTTTTGGACACTCACTAGAAAAAATTAGGAGGGGCATGAATACAAAGATAACTGTACAGAGCCTGCTATCCTGCTTCTCTCCACAGGACCAGGAGAGAGCTTCACTGGAGCAGGAGCAACCCCAAGTTATGACTCAAGACTATTTGAAAGAAGGATATCTTACACCGCATCTAGGCACCAATGGGTCCCATGGAATCAACCTCTTCTGAAGTGTTCTGCGTGAAAGCCCACTCCCTCTCTAAAGCAATTACAGCCTCGAGGTATGAGACGGCACAGATGCAGCGCCTGCGGTCATCCTACAACCAACTCTCCTCTAGCCACTCGGCACCAAAACCACCCTCCGGCCCATTTCTCACACACGCCCCCTACCTTTGTTTTCACTGCCACAACTCCAAATAAGGCCCTCGCGTCTCTTGTCTAAAACACTGCTCCGATAGCCTTGGCCCCAGTCCATCTGACATACCACTGCCAGCAGTTCTCCTAAATACCCAGAGCCAATCATACAATAAATATCTTCGCTTAAAAAGCATCAGTGGTTTGTCACTGCCCACCGAGGATTATTTCATAGTATTAGGGGCCCGGCCTTTTCTGGTTTCTCTAACTAAACACAAATTACTACAAAAAAGAGGAAAACTTGGTGTTTGCTCACAGAAAAAACAGCTCACAAAATAAACAACTACAAGGTAAAATTACACAAAATCTACATATTATGAAAGCGTTTCTCAAAATGCAGCTATGAAACACCAGTGTTCCTTCAGATGTAGTGGTATTTCACAAAAAAAGGCTAACTGTCAAATACATTTTAGACTACTGGGTTTAAAATAAGTTTAACAGATTTCTTTAGAATTTCTCAAAGCCCTGAATATGTTAAGTTTAGGGTAAATCTTCAACACACAATTTCTCAAAGTTATTTAATCACAGAGCCCTTTGAGGGAACACACAAACATTCAGGAAACACATTCTATGCAACGCACTAGCTGAGGAGCATCTGGGAGGAACAGAAAGGGGTAGAAGGGCCCAGATTAGGGGCCCACATATCTGTGGGCATCACAGGCTGGGGAAGAAGAAAGGGGTTAAGGCGCACTGTTCGATTTACTTATGCTTCTGCAGTCACGGGCTTCTGCTGTCTTAAAGGGAATAACACACCGCTCGTCCCAATACTGACGGTAGGGCACAGAAACGTGGTGGGTCGTTACCTCCAAAGCCCGTCAGTAATAAAGGGAGACAAGCTGCCCAGTCTTGATGGGGCTTCCTGTGGCCATCCAAACACATTTATTTAATATATGAATTACATTCAAGGTCTCCTATCGCCTGACTTTAGCCTACAGGTTTTTTCAACTGTAAAACAAGAAGATTAGAAGGGATTGCCACTAAGATGCCATCTAATATATTCATAAAGGTTTAATAATCATTTTATTTTTACCAAGTTATTTCACATTGTTCTCCTTCATGCACTGTATTTACTTCAACAAAACTGGACCCTTACTCTTGCTAAAAAAACTCTGAACATCCGGGCCCTCATGTTCTCTGCTCATGAAGTCCTACAACCCAAATTTCTTTTCCTGTCCACCAAATGCCAATTGTCTCCCAAAGCCCAGCTCAGAAGCCTGACTCTCTGAAGCTCTTATCTCCCCTCACAAAACTAGAATTACTTTCCCTAGACTTCTCTAACTAGTGATTTGTTACTCTCAAAGCACAGACTTTACAGCTACTGCTGTACTTCAGAACTTCTCCCCCACTAGGGTATTCTCACCATTTCATGGCTGTTTCCAACATTAAACACATTTTGCAAACAGCCAGCACACAAATGCTTGAAGTGAGGCACGGGGTCTGCTGGTGCATGTAGCTGGGCACACGCTCCTTTGTCTTTCGTGCCCCACTCCTTTGCCGTTCGGAATCCTTTCTTTTCCTCTTTCTAGTATGCTCCAACTGTTGCCCTCATCCTTTCCAGAGGGAAAATGAGGACACTAACAATATTGTGTGTTAGGTACAACATTTTTTACCTTCCTAGAGGTTATTTGTCAAAATGCTTCAATTTCAATATCCTTACTACACTTTCGACTTAGTGACTCTTAAGATGAATTTTTAGCCTGCATAGTTACAGAGGTACGACCAACTTCTATTCACTACGTCAAACAGTAGGGTATTGGTTAAATAAATTATCGTATGCTTACATGACTGAATAAAATGCAGCCATTAAAAATCCTGGTGTAGTGCAGGTTTTCCCAACCGGCACTATGGGCATTGCTGGCCAGCTGTTCTCTCTTGCGGAGGCTGTCCTGTGCACTCAGGACATTAGCGCCACTCCTGGCCTCCCCCAGCTGGGCACCCATGGGATCCCCACCATCAGCTGTTACCATCAAAAATGTCTCTAGACATAAATGTCCCCTGGGCCATAGTGGGGGGAGGGAGACAAAATCACTCCAGATTGAAAACCAGCGATTCAAAGCATTCTATACATAGAATATATAAAATACACTAAGTAGAAAATGCAATTATAAAAAGTATAGCCAGAATAACCATTTCATTTAAAAAATACAGATCAAAAAAGTATGTGTGTAGGTGTCAGTGAGTATGTACGTGTGTATCCGAGAGCAAGGGGGGAGAGAGAGCAGGAGGGAAATGTGGAGAATGGAAAGAGACAGACCATGGATGGTACTAATTGTTCTTTAAATGACAGGGTTACGGGTGATCTTCCTTACATTTTTCTCTATATAAATATGTATTAGTTTTGTAAACAGAGGGGGGAAATCAGCAAATCAACAACTTCTACTAATATACAAGTATATGCTACCAGATTTACTAAAATTATTGTCTCCAAAATTACTGCTTTGAAAAGAAGGAAAATACTTGCCATATATAATAAATGGTGCCCAGAATTCAGCCTCATTGTCAAACTGTCCAGTCCCTTCAAACTAATCTGCGAAGGCCGATACCTCACAGACTCAGTGGATTGTGCTGAGGGGAGGGGTGCACAAGTGCATGACAGAGTCGACTGGGCCTCACAGCACTGCTCAGTAGTTAAGAGCTGGGTGTACTTAATCTGGATTTCAGTTTACACAGTAATTAGCTACATCTGCTACTGTACGTATTGGCTTTCTGCTTAGCAATGTGAGAAAATGAAGATGCACATTCCTGGACTACATAAGAAAATAAGCCCGCACCGTATCTTGCTCGCTGCTGCACCCCTGCATACAGGCACACAGCAGATGCTCATATGTATTTCATGGATGAGTGAATGTTACAAACATGCTAATTCTGGGCTAGGCACCTACATGTGCTATCTCATTGTCCCCCATCCAAACAATTCTGTACTGTAGGTATTGCTGTCCCTGTTCTGCAGATGGAAAACCTGAGGCTCAGTCCAATTAAGTACTTGCCCAAGGCCATGAGTTAATAAGTTTCATTGTACAATGACATTTCTAAGAATTTCATTTGCTAATCAATGATATTACCAAGATAAACTCTGAGGACAAGCATAGCACGCTTGCTGAAAAAAAATATTAGACCCTAAACCACTCTCATCACCTGCCCTCCCTATCCTTCCTTGCTCCACAAGCATTGAGCAGCAGCTAAACCCTAATCCAAAAGACAGCAGTAGAGTATTTCACTTGTTTTAGCTATAGGTGTAAGGAAAAACAATTCTTATTTTCATAATCCAATAAAAATTTAACCAGTGAGATATGTTCATATGTCCATTTTGTCAGCAGAAACTTTAGTTCTAAAACCAGAAGTGGCATAAGAGAGTCAAGATGTAGAAAAGGGTGATTTAATATATAAAAATATAGCTTTAAATGCTAACTAAATAATAAATGAGAGTAACTAAAATTACCATATAGTAAATATGAATGATTACTTTCCTTTCATGTATGAAACATCAATTATGTTTGTGAATAAAGAGTACCAAAAACCCATCAATAAGGCTCGGTCTCTCCTATATGTGCACAACGCCTCAGAATATGGTATAATTCCTGGTAAATGTTCCAAAGCTATGTAGACAAGAAAAGCTTTTCCCTGTCTGGTGCGGGCCTGCCCAAGTCTCTGGGGACCATAAACTACCCAGTGCTAGAAGTCAGGGCCAGAGTGCCTCAGCAAGAAGCCCTGTCTCCAGAAAGAGGACGAAGGTTAGGGAGCAGGCAGGTGAGAGCAGGAAGAGAAAGAGGAGGAGAAGAGGGAGGAGGACGAGGCAGGCCAGAAGTCCGAACACTGTCACTTCTCCCTGCACGCTGGGGAGTCTCCCTCACCTGGCGAGTGCTGCCGGAGCCAGTCATCCAGCAGTGGGGAAAAGGGGCCTTCCCTCAGCCTCCTACGCCACTGCACCAACCCCAATTATGTAGACCAAAACAAAACAGGACAAGACAACACAGTTGACTTTGTTAAAGGACACTTTGTGTTCAGAGGCTCTCAATACGTTCCCTTTTACCAATTACATCTTAAATTAAGTTAAACTCCTATTAAGAGACTGAAAATACAACATTTGCTCATTATAAGGGAACTATCTTAAAGAATATAAAAACACTGCCAAAAATACTTTTTAAAAACCTAGTTAAAAAAGGCTTAGCTATGTGTATTTCATTCTTTTAAATGTTTAGGAAAACAAGAGTTCAAACAGTGAATACAGAAATGAAACCCATGTGTATTCAGGTCCTCTATAACCACAATTCAAATATCTGAGGTAGGGCTTCAGTTTCCAGGGCATTTACACTTTTCTAAGCAGGAAAGTTGAAAAGATATTTTATTTTGAAGCTAGACAAACAGGCCCTCAAATTTAACTAATTTTTAAATAAAGTTTCAAGCTAGTGAATGTAGAATGAAAACTAGAATTTAGGTCTTTAGGCTTTTCAATAAATGCTACTTCCACTTCAAAAATTGGTGTAAAGACTAGAAAACCTAGGACTTTGCATTTTGTTATAAATCATGCTCTGAACTGCTATACAACTACCTATATATGGTAAATACTGTTTATGTAAGGTTTATGTCTTAACTGTGTGAGAAGAGTAAATACTTGAAGGACGAGTAAGTTCAGGTCATCATTAATTTGTGAAACTCCTTTATTAAAAGAGAAAGAAGAGGGTGGGAGACAACAGGAAGAAAAAAAACTAGAAAAGACCATGGCATTACCTTATTAAGAATATTTGGAAAACATTCAGAAGTACCTGCAGCCACCGGAAAAATAGCTGAGTTTGTGATGTCTTTAACTTTTATAAAGCCTAAAACTATTTATACTATACTATGAAATAGTTACTTCAGATACTTATAAGGTTCTGAAATTATTAGAAATAGCTTTTACTAATTACAGAAGTACATTAGGTTATCCGATTCATTCTTTTTCTAAAAAATTTACTTAGAATTTCTTACTGCTTTCAAATTTCTTTAGGGGATGGGGATACAGCCACTTAGACGATCTTGTTCCAGCTGCCTGTGTGCGAGGGCGCGTTTTTGGAGGAAACACACGTTCACTGTGCTATCTATCCTGGCTGCCTCATGCTCCACTGACTGCGTTCCAACTAACTCGAATTTCTCCTTCCGTCTACACCAGCATTTCCCGAAGTGTGCACTGAGGACCACTGGTGATACAGCTATTAGTGTATCTTAATGTACACAAATGAAAATGAAGAGAATCTTGCTAAACAATGGAAGAAACTCCCTCCCCCCACTTTTTGGAAAGTCACTACGGACACTGGCATATGAAAAGCTCCAAGAAATCCTGCAGTGAAGAAACATGCTTATTTTTGCTTAATCCATCTTATCAAATTTATCCCCGTTATAACAAGAAAATCTTGGCCACACTGAAACCCAACTCAGTATAAACAACATCACATAAACATCAAACCAGCACGTACATGATGTCACACTGATCTTATCACACTATTTTTTCGGAGGAAGGTGTAACATTACTTGCATTTAGAAAGTTGTTAATTAGTTTATTTTTCCTTTGAAGAAGCTTCCTGGTCAATTAATAACTCCACCCAAAGGAAATAATGGCAAGACTCACTACATATGCAAAATATTTAAATACAGAGCTAGTACCAGCTTAATACCTTTTATCTTTAAATGATAATTTCTCCAACTGGCTTCTCCAAATTATATCATCTTCTGTTTTATTGAAGAACATCAGCTTCACTTTCCTTAAAAGAAAAACAACAACTACTCAAAAAAACTATTTCAATTAGTTTAAATTTAAAATATGCCTGAATAGAAATCTAAAATATGCCTGAATAGAAATCTAAACGTGAACTAATACAAATGTTTTTTAGTGCCAATAAAGTAACTGAAAGAATCAAAATAAAATGAATCAAATTAGTTAAATTGCCAGGACTTGAGGAGGCAGAGTTAAGAAATAAATGAGGAAATGAGAGTATGTCTATATTAAGGTCCACTGAATAATTAAATAATTTAGAATACTTTATACTAATCTAACAGCTTCACAAAGATAGTAGTTAAAGATAAAATTACATACCTGAGACTGGGTACATTATTCAAAGCATAATTCAATACTTTGACCATTGGTGTGAAGCCTGTTCCAGCTGCCAATAAAAAGAAGTCTTCTAATTCTTGGAACTGGGATATTTTAAAATTGCCCTCAGGACTGCTTACAGAAACAAAGTCTCCTGAAAAATGAAATATAGACTAAATCAGAAAAAAAAAATCAGAGGAACTGAGAAGGCTACATCTAGCTGAATGCAGAACACTGGTGAGTAACAGGATGAAAGTTTAACTTTCAGACTATGTCTCAGACTTAGTTTATGTAAGGAGTACTCATTAGACCCCCAAGTATGTCTGGATTATATCACTATAATCAAAGTAATAACGAGGTTTTATTCATTCACTTCCCAACATTATTTTCCCAAACCATCTGGAGTCTCTAGTTTACAAACTATTGCCAAATACTTAAGTACAAATTGTCAATAAGTAGATGGCTAAATTATAAGCACCTCAAAAGCAGAGTCCATGTCTACCTGTCTTGCATCGTACGGGGTAGAGAACAGGTTTTTGCTACTTTACTTCTATTGATTCTCACCCATAATATAGTAATAAGACTAGTAGGAGAGAAAATTGAAATAAAAATGTATTCTAAAATCTTACATTAGTAACTGTGCTAACTTCACCTTCATCAAATCTTTGAACAGACTAATGGATGAAAACAACAAGAGCTGTTCTGAATTCAATCCCTATAAAAACAAAGCAAGATCAGAAACTGTACTTGGAGCATGCTACTTCCCAATATAGAATCTGAACAGTTGAAAAAGCATTTTCTGAAATGCAGTTGTTATAACCAATATATACCATTCATATAAGGGAATTGCCTTTAGGATATTTCAGAAATGTTTAATATAATTAAATAAAAATAAAGCTGTCCATATTTTAAAAGCAATTGAAAAATTTTAAATGCTTGAATGCTCATAATTTTTTCTTTCTTTTCCATAGCAGGATAATCTTGCGGTAAATGATGACTTAAGCATTAGGAAGTAACAAAGCTCCTTGTTATAGTTTGAAAGTAACCATAAGATCAGAATATCCACAGGATATTATTGGGTTGGCCAAGAAGTCTGTTCAGTTTTTCCCATACCATGACTCTAGCAATGAGTGCTTAATTGTCTTAACTTCATTTGAAACAATTCTATTAGACTGTACTGTGACAGCTGTCATATCAGCATACATTAAAACTTCTCAAAATTGAATTTTCAACACAGCCACTTTAATATTGAACATGGAAGAAAATACTCAACATTTTCTGTATATTATGCTTTATTATTTTAATAAAGGTAAAAATGCAACTGAGATGCAAAACAAGATTTGTGCATTGTATGAAGAAGGTGCTGTAGCTGATCGAATGTGTCAAAAGTGGTCTGTGAAGTTTCTTGGTCCTATTGACATTTAGGCCAAATACTTCTTTGCTGTGGGGCTGTCTTATGCTTTGAAAGATATTTAGCAGAACTCCTGGCCTCTACCCACTAGAAGCCAAAAGCAAGAGATAGCTGACATACTCAAAATCAATAAAGTTATTGATGAAAATGAAAAGTGAGCCTTTTATTTTACAGAAAAAACATAATGGGCATTTTGGCCAACTCAATAATAAAGAAGTTTCACAGAATGATGCTAACTTGGCAACTTTTGTACACAGTCCAGGCCTTCCGACATCATAAAACTGATTAGACAAAGGCGCAGTACCTGGTGCTAATCAAATTCCCAGGAGATGAAAGTACGCATGCCAGGATGGCCACTGATTTACAGCCAGGCTCCCTCCATCTAGTCACCTGAATAGTACACACCCCATCTAGGGCATCATATTCATTTGACATGTGAAAGGCCAACATAACCATATAAAAGTTGCTTGGTGAACATGGGATTGAGACAGAGAAGTGGGTAATGTCACCGCACCGCCCGATCAGGCGATGCTGAGGCTGTACGACTACCACTGCCATGCCAGGCCAGCTCCCTGGAAGTGAAACAGGCGTTGGTGCCACGTCTGGGTCCCTGTATAAAGTTGAGAACTATATGCTTGGAGCTTTATGCTTTACTTTTCCAAGTTTTAGGATAACTCTTCACCTTGCTCTGTTCACTCAATCTCTATAAATAGGCTACAAATACAGCTGGGTAAGTTTTGGCTTGCTATTACAGTCAGGTGTCAGTCCCTCCCAAGATGACAGTAACCTTTGCTGGATTTGTGGGCATTCCAAAATTCTCTTTTTTAAATTTGTTTTTTATTTTAATTTTATTATGCCATTACAATTGTTCTATTCCCCCCTTCATTCCCCTCTACCCTGTACCCCCACCCCCACTATTCCCCCCCTTTAGTTTATGACCATGTGTCTCAAGTTCTTTAGATTCTATATTTCCCATACTATTCTTACCTTCCCCCTTATCTATTTTCTACCTACCGTCTATGCTACTTATTTTCTATCCTTCTCCCCCCTTCTCCTCCTCCCACTCCCTGTTGCTAACCCTCCACGAGATCTTCGTTTCTATGTTTCCTCTCCTGATCTAGCTGTCCTCTTAGATTGCTTTTGTTTTAGATGCAGTTGTTAATAACTGTGAGTTTGCTGTCCTTTCACTGTTCATATTTTTTATCTTCTTTTTCTTAGGTAAGTCCCTTTAACATTTCATATAAGGGCTTGGTGATGATGAACTGCTTGAATTTGATCTTATCTGAGAAGCACTTTATCTGTCCTTCCATTCTAAATGAAAGTTTTGCTGGATAGAGCAATCTTGGTTGTAGGTCTTTGGATTTCATGACTTGGAATACTTCTTTCCAGCCCCTTCTTGCCTGTAAGGTCTCTTTTGAGAAATCCGCTGACAGTCTGATGGGAACTCCTTTGTAGGTGACTATCCCCTTATCTCTTGCTGCTTCTAGGATTCTCTCCTTCATTTTAATCTTGGCTAATGTAATGATGATGTGCCTTGGTGTGTTTCTTCTTGGGTCCAACTTCTTTGGGACTCTCTGAGCTTCCTGGATTTCCTGGAAGTCTATCTTCTTTGCAAGATTGGGGAAGTTCTCCTTTATTATTTGTTCAAATAAGTTTTCCACTGGTGGCTGTTCCTTTCCCCCTTCTGGTAACCCTATAATTCGGATGTTGGAGCATTTAAAGATGTCCTGGAGGTTCCTAAGTCTCTTCTCATTTTTTTGAATTCTTGTTTCTTCATTTTTTCCTGTTTGGTCATTTTTTCCTTCCTTCTGGTTCATTCCCCTGATTTGAGTCCCAGTTTCCTTTCCATTACTATTGGTTTCCTGTGCAATTCCCTTCACTTCAATTAGTTTAGCCTTCATATGTTCCTCTAATTTGTGATTATAATCAACCAGTTCTGAGAGCATCCTGATCAGCAGTGTTTTGAACTGTGCATCTGAAAGTTTTGTTATTTCTTTGTTGCTTAGAGTTATGGGCTCTGGGGCTCTGAGATCTTCTTGAGCCATTTTTGGTCTGTTTGCGCCCGTTAAGTATAAGGAGAGGAGCCTTAGGGGCGGGGTGGGGCCACCAGGGCGGGGTCCCTGGTTTGTGATGCTATATGTGGGGGCGGGGTCAGAGCTGGGAAATGGCGGCTTTCTCTGCTGCCTCCTCCGCTGGGGCCTGCTCAGTCCCACCTCACTGCCCACTCCCTCGCCGGTCTATCTGCGCATGAATGCACAACCACAGTCAATCGGCCACCCTGCGCCCTCACTGGGTCTGCTGATCGCTCACTAGGTCCGCCCACTGCAACCCCACACCTGGGATTCGTGGGCCTGAGTCCATCTGATCGAGTTTTCCAGTGCAACCCCACTCCATCAGCTGCTGGCTTTGCCCCTCTTACTGGTCAGGCTGAAGAATTCGTTGTCATCAGACTTCCAAAAAGTTCAATTTTCTGTGTTCTGGCTGTGTTTTCTGTTGCTACTATTTTGTTTTCTCTAAACCTGGTTGTGTGAGAAAGCACGGCGTCTCCACCTATGCCTTCATCTTGGCAGAAGTCTCAGGTGTTTTTCAGTACTCCAAAATTCTTTTGGTTCACATTTATAGTCAATATTTTGACTCTGTAACCAAAGATGACTAATTATATCGTTACATACAGATTTCTAAGCTTAACTTTCAGAAAACAACTTAATTTTCTTTATTTCAAAATCTTAGTCATCGATTTCACTGTTACTCCAAGGTGCTGCCTTACAAAAGGGAAGAACAGGTTTACTGTTAGGTGAAGGCGGTGAAACGCTGAAGACACAGAAGAAGGGGTGGAAGCAGAAAGATGTTCTGAACCTTAATAAATTTCATTAGAGTACTTTTATTTTTTTCAAAGTATTTTCACTAAGAGCCTATGATATGCCAACTGCCATGCCAGGTGCAGGAAGTACAAAGATAAGTAAGACACTACCTTTAAATTCAAAGTCTTGTAAAGAAGAAATATTACTTATTCTTATCCCAGAGCTATGCACAACATGTTAGGTATTTCAGGGGAAGAGGCAAGATTCATAAAAGAAGTGGTATTTCGTTTGGTTCTTCAAAAAAGGGGCACTTTATAGGTGGAGAAAGGGTCGATAAGCATCCTAGGTGAGGCAACTGTATTTCTCTATAAGTAAGGATGATGAGCCTGTGGAACCCTGAGTAGCACAAGGATCTGTACTCAAGAGATGAAGCTGGAGAGATCACAAAAGTCTTTGTAGGTCATGCAGGGGGGGTATGTAATCAGGTGATGGACACCCAGCAGAGGTTTCAGAGAATGACATGGTTCACTCCGTCCTCAGGGCGGCTTGAAAAAAGAACTGATAAATAGAAAGAGAAAGTCCCCAGCTACAGGGAAATAAGAGAGGCCAATTAGAGGCCAAGAGAGAAATGATGGAGGTTTGATCTAAGAGGGTGGCCAAAGAAAAAGAAAAACTAGCAAGTCACTGGCAGGTTGGCTCAACAGAACACAGTGGCTGACTGGACTGGGGGGAGAAAACAGGAAGACTCTAAGATGGCTCAAGTCTCTGCACTGGGTCAAGAATGAACAGTGGGAGAGGCTGCAGATGAGTATGGAGTGATAATGAGTTGGATAAGACAAAGAGAACATGACTCTGATTGCAGAGATGCTGAGCTTCAGATCTGTGACAGGGTCCCAGATGGAGACAGCTAGAAGGCAATGTAACATGTGCTCCAACTGAGAGCACAAGTGAAGTAGAAAACAAAACAAAAAATAAACAAACAAAAAAACACAAAATACTAACCAATCTGAAGATGATCAAGCTGTGGTGTGAAGAGACCAGCAGGATAGATTTTGATCAGAAAGTAGATGTATTTATTGTTGGGAAGAACTGGTTCCTTGAACTCTGAGAATAAGGAATCAGGTACAGGTGTATATGGCTTCACTATTTCAGTTCCTAGAAAAAGTCACGACAAAGAAATTCAATTATAAAAATCTAAAAAGCTCTGAATGAAGATAAAACACACACATTTTATAATGCAATCAGTATATATTTAAGCCTGTACACCTAATGTTTACATAATTCTAACTATGTTCCATATGTATATAGTACAGGTATATATATATATATCCCAAGCCCATATGTGCTGAACTAATTTTAACAGATCAATATTTTATCAGTAATATAAACAATGTTTTTATTAAGTGTGGTATAAAACCAGGATTTATGTTAATAAACTCAAACAATCTTATATTCTACCAGCATGCAAACCTGGTAATAGGACACAAGAAAAATGGCATAAAAAGTTTAGAGATTTGAGAAGGTACTTACATAATAATTTTAATTATACATCAACATTTTAACAATGGTTACTGATCATTTATTTGGGTGTGAGAAAGGGAAGAATTTCACATTTTACTTTGTCTATTTTAAGTTATTTTAATGTTTATTAATTTACTTTGGTAACTGAATGAAAAGAATATTAATCCAACTACTTTTGAATGATGGCCTGACATTAAATGATGCAGAGAAAAACATCATGGTTCCATGATAACAGGCCATACCCACCAGATTCTGGCTGGTGGTCCATTAGACCAGTTGCTGGGAACACCATGATGAACAGGAGAATGTTAACTTTGCAGTTTCAGAAGGCCAAAAAAACATTAGACATCAGTAAGAAGGATATTTGAAACAAATAAACGAGGTAACTTTAGGGTGAAAAAAGGAATTCACATAGTAAGGAATACATTTACAGATCTTCTTATACTGGGGAAATGTATAAAGAAATCATTTGTAATCATCCACTCATCTTGAAATTTTATAAATTCAACCTTATAAATGACGATAGTAAGTGGCTTCTAAGAGATGCTGGTACGTGTTTCTAGGAGCTGTCTTCACGGAGGGGCACGTGTGCACGCCTCACTTCTTTCCTCGGAGGCTTCTTTGGTGATAAATTACAGTGCCAGTGGGACCACCGCTGATCGGGGGCAAGTCCTTTGTTCCATACGGCACAGCTGCAGTTCCAACATGTGGGAACACTGCACCCACAGACCTAGAATCTGGCCATCCCTAAATCTAGCTGCCCAGAAATATTTCCTAACAATCTAAAAGGGTGCTTTCTAAAGAGATTAGGAGTGATTTTGAACCGTTTATAAAAGAAGAAACTCTTCCCCCAGAGCTTCTATTTGCCTTACCTGTAATAGTTAGTTTGAGGTAAACATGTTGCCCAACTGGCACCTGAAGGTGAGTGCTTCGTGGCAGCATCAGACAGAAAAACTTCACATCATGAGTAACAGTTTCCTTGGAAATTAACTGGCACTTTCTGTAGTACAGACCTAAAAAGTGATTCATTTTCTGTTATTCATGAATATACTAAGTAAGAATAACACTAGACCCACTAAGTGAAAGCACAGACTCAGCTTTGCTCTCTGATTGGGCCTGAATTTCACTAGGAGACATACATGTTTTTAAAATTCATCAGTATTTTAAAAACCTGATTGTGTTAACTTTTTTCATTTTATTTCCTGAGTATCTATTTGCTAAAACCTGGAAAGTATAAAACCCTTTCTAATTTCAAAATAAACTTTATAAAATGAGTATTATATTGCTCATGTCTGTTATTATAGCATGCTAAAAACATTACTAGGAAATTAAAACCTAATTTATTTCTTCCTAAATTCACTTTTTTATAATTCTATCTTTTAAATCCTTACATTTACAAGTTATATAGTGAATTATGGATATGAAACGTTATTTGACAAACAACAAATGTACATTCTAAATTCTTTACTTATAGGAAAGAAAAGTTCTGTAACTCAAATATTGAAAGTTTAATGATATTAGCACTATTAAATAACTTTAGAAATATTTCTTTTATAAAGGCAGGGAAATATACATTCTTGTGTGTATACATTTGTATATCAGGTCTGTCCAGAGGTATCCAGCCATATAATATGAAAAATAGAGACGTTTATTGAAGAAGATATAAGAAGCCTCGTACACAGAACAATGACACCTCAGTCCTCTTCAAAGTAGGCACCTTGGGACCTCACACAGTTCTCTCAATTGCCATCTGCTGCCCCATTGTATTTTCCTGAATCTCATCCACAGTATGAAATCTCTTCCCTTTCAAAGGTGATTTTAGTTTGGGGAAAGCCAGAAGTCTCAGGGCACCAAATCTGGGCTGTAAAGGGGCTGGTCACTGAGTGATTTGATGTTTTGCAAAAATGTCTGCATGAGATGTGATGCATGAGCTGGCACGTTGTCCTGATGAAGCTGCCAATCACCAGCTGCCCATAGCTTTGGTCTTCTGAATCATCCAAATAGTTTCCATGGAAGAATGAATGATCAAGCTTAATGCAAAATTTGACATGAATCATGTGAGCAGGTTCACTGCTCTACTGGCTTAGTTTGAATGTGACAGCCACACAGTACACATGCTCACTCAACAATGTCTACTGCCCCCACTGACTGTTACAGTGAAGTCATCACTGTTCATGCATGTGCATTTCTGTCCACTCTCCTTGGCTGCCAGTTACAGCAATGCTGCTCAAACCATTCTCGTTCTCATTATATTAACCCTGGATGGACATTTTCCAGACAGACCTCGTATATGTATTCATATATAAATGAATTCTAGAACATTTTAACTGTCAAAAATGATTAAAACAAAAAAATATATTTCAGAGTGTAAGTCTTGATTAGCTAAAACACTCAATTTAAGTGAAAAACTGAAGATACCAGGTTTGTGGTACTAAAACACAAATAAATAAAAGGAATCAAGTAGTTCTATAAATATTACAAATATTTTAAATTAATAACCCAAGTTCAGAAAATATTATTTGTATACATAGCAAAATTATACCACTTGGGTTAGAAGAACTTGTTATAAACCATCTGAAAGCCTTAATATTTTCACCTGTAAATTCTCTTTTGGATGTAAACAGCACACCAGAGTAGACTGATGATAGCGGTTTGTTTCATTATTTCCTTTCATAAAAAAGCATTTACATAGATGTATCAAAAATCAACCTTGAAAAAGCATTTCTTATATTAATTAGTCTTTCTCTCTCTACTAACCTAAAAAAATTTTCAGTATGTACCAAAAAATGTATTCAGATCACAGGACAGGAAGGCCTAATATCTAATAATCAATGGTTAGTAGGAGACTAAAATTCACAAATCTAAGACATTTTTTAGGCCACAATTTCATCCAATTTCTCTCTTCCCTTGTCCCTTCTGAGCCCCCCAAACCCCAGTCACTAAATCTTTCTACCTGCTAGCACAGTAGCTTGGTATGCATATGCGTTTAGAGTGCATCGCTGTACGCAAAAAACTGAGGCATCGTTCAAGTCACTGCATTCTAGTACAAGAGCATAGCTGGGACCAGATAACAGCTAAGGGCACCACCCTAATGTTATTCAGGAGGCCTAATCCAGTACTGGGCTGACAAAACATCAAAAGATAGGCTTACAAGGAGACATGAAGGTTCAAATGCACTCATCACTTCCAGACCCTTCTGAAACCCAGACCCAGAGAATACAGAGATTCACATACTACATGCTTAAATATTTAGCTTATAAATAAGATGAATAACTGTTAAATAAAATATATTCTGTGCTGTATCTTGAAATATGTCTTCATAAATATCTTAGGAGGCTAGGTTCAGATTCCAGATTCTTGAACTCCTCACAGTTCCATGCAGGAAGATGGCAGAGAAATGAGAGCTGCACCCCCACTGACTGTCTATGGCCTGCCACCTTTATCTCTCGGCCCTGTCTCTGACACTGAGTGACGTGCAGGCACACCCTCCTACAGCTCTCCCTCGAAACAGCCTTGGGTAGTATAGCACCAGACGGAAGTGGATTTGGAGCCACTCAGGCAGGGAATTCTGGGGTTTCCATATCTGAAATGTGGTGTTAAAGAAAGAGCGTGAACTCTGGATGGGACTTTCTTGGCCTTGCACACTCATTCTCTGGGAAGGGCGCAGCTGGAAGGGAGCCACTGTGGAGTTCTCCAAGTGTGAGTCCAGGGCAGCTGCCCCTCTAGCCCAAGTTCGAAGGCTACAGTGCGTTCCTCTAATCAAATTTACTGTGTGCCCTTCTGAAAGCTTTACTGCCAGAGGAAAGAGTTCGCCTCCTGACTCGACCATTTCATGTCAGCTCTAGCATTTGCTGGAAGGGATCTGCTACAGTAAGTCTGCTACAGTAAGTATGCATCTTAATCATACTTAGAAAACAAGGAAGCCGTGGGTGTTAGAGCAACTTACTAGCTTCCCTTCTTAGAGATTTAACACAGTAAGAATTATTGCTATTTAACACCACTGAGGAAATTTAAGAAAATTTTCATATTTCAATTGGGCTGAGGAGAGCGAGAGAGCTACAGCTGACATATGAGGGACAAGGAGTGTGAATCTGATGCCCTGGCTACTGCAGTAGGGACAATGCCATCATTTAAGTTTAAGTGTCAGGCTTCGGGCTTTGTAAGCATGGATAATTATACCACAAAATGAGAAGGTAAATTCTAGGTCTGACACGAGAAGGCACTGCATTAAAAGTCTTCAACTTCTATGTTATTTTCAAACTAAAATCCCTTAGCTAACAAATTTCAGTAAGAGGAAGCCAGTATGCTAATCTGTAATTTTAGTAATTTATACTGAAGACCGAAGAACCAGGTGATGGACTTAAACATTTAAAGATACTGACATCAAGTTAATCATAATACATTGATGATATAAGCATTCAGATTTGCTATAGTGATTAAAATAATCTATGGGTTTTGTCCTGGTTTAAAGAAGGAAAATGACAAAGAAATTATTTGTGCTAATTTAGTCAAATAAATGAAAATACCCCCTAAACTCTGAGTCATTTTCCAAAGTAGAAAACCCAACTCACTGAAAAATACACCTGAGGCTCCAGTTTCAGACAAGAGAGCTAAAGCTAACTATGGTGGTACCTGACTCGAGGAGAAGTGTATGGCCACAATGAAGAGCTCATGGAAAGCCTCAGGAAATTACAAGGGAAAAGTGAGCAGTGTTCATTCTATTTCCAAATGGAGGTCAGCCTTCATTCTCAGCATCATTTGTTTCTTAGATTTGGCTTTTACTGGGGCAAGAGTTTCACTTTAATAATAGGTTTTCATTTTACTGTCTTTCACCCAATCTCTTTGGATATGTTAGATCATTCTGTTATTCCTCTATGTTCTCTCTCTCCACTTAATACCATAAAATTCAGACCTACTACTCTGGTAAAATTAATCTCTTTAACCTTTCCCACACATGGCTTACATTTTTCTTTCTCTACAACCTGCAAAATGCCTGGCACAATAAGTACCAGTAACAATTTAAGGCTCTTACCTGCAAAAGCCTTCACAGCTTTTTGTCATTTTTTTGGAAAGCTACCTTCAGAACATTGCTTGAAATCTACCTCCTTCAGGGAGTTAGTTCTTCAAGGTCAAATTCATCTGCACCTGTTCAAGTGGGATAACCTCAGAATGTGCTCAATTTGTACAATATAACTTGCCCTTGTTAGCTTGTCTCATTATTAATGTATTCTTCTACCTCATATTTGTGTATGGTTTTTCCTCCACCTGGGAAAATAATTTCTGATGCTTTCTGTTTCAGACCACAGTGCCTAAAACAAAATAGCCTGCGCACGATGTGTACCCGAAATATGGCTACCTGATGCTTTTCTGTAAAGTAAAATATTATCCACAAGCACATTTTTGTAATTTTATATATTCAAAGATGGTAAACTGAATACACAGTTAGTTCCCCTAACAACCCCCAACTCAAATAAAAGCAAAGATGTTTTGTATATGCACTTGGTTGTTTTTTAAGGCATAAGGCTGCAAGGACAGAAGAATGGAATGTTAAATAGCAGCAATACTCTGGGACCTGAGAAGTCACGGAGATGACTGACAACTGACATGGTAGACTTGATAAAGCTGAGTCCAAAGCTAGGACAGAAAGCCAAAAATTAAGGACCTATTTGTAATATGAGATCCCTTTAAAAAGGCTCAGAAATCGGCAGAACCAAAAACCTTTGGATCGAAGTGAAGGCAGAGCTAAAACCACTTTCTGGACAGAAAATTCACTTTAGAAGACTAGATGCCCTCCCGCCCTCAGCTTTTCTGAAGTCCTCCCCCTACTTAGCACGCCCTGTCTCATTCTGGCAGAATATTCGAAGTTTGCTCTCCAGTGAGAGTAAAATAAAAGATCTTTGAATTTGAGTATATATTATAGGCTAAACTGTATCCCTCTCAATTTTAATATGCTAAAATCATAACCCCAGTACTTCAGAATGTCACTATATTTAGAGACCCAAAAAAAAAGAAAGAAAAGTACTTAAGTTTACAGGCACCCCAGCATTTCCCCTACGACATCACTTGTGAATTGTTAGGTACAAGGTACAAGAATGTTCACTCTGGAGACTCTGACAAAATACTGGCATCAGATCTTCCCAAAGAAATGATGCGACTGCACAGTGAGTACATTGTCAACAAGCCACACCCACACGCACAGTTTCTAATCAGCTATTTTAGAGTGCCACCCTGAAATATGGGTACATATAGTCAGGGGTACGCAGACTCAGAGAAAGCATCTACTGTAAAAGACAGACTGAAACAAACAAGCTTTGAGGATATGGAAGTTACGTACACAGAAAAAAACTAAAAAATAATACTTTAAAAAATATTTTAAAAATATTTTTAAAAGATGTTTTTTTAAAGATGAAAAATATTTTTTCAAGTATAATTATTTTATTATTGCTTCATTTTAGTTTTCTTATTTTTAGCCAAAAATGGAATATTATTGTAAATTTAAATTTAGGTAACATACTTTATCAACAGGGGTTTCTGTGTTTGCTTTTTAATTCAGCCATGCCTCTGAATTTGCCTCTTTTTTATCCTGAAATAAGCTTAAATATCCCATGAAGGATTGAAGATGGTCTTAGTTTTTTACAAATGTGAAAGGTAACTTTTACATCACCCTTGCTCTCAAATAATAGCTTGCCTGTTTAAGATAAAAAATATCTTTTAAAAGATAAGAAAAGTTAATAAGAATAGAATACTAAAAGAAACAAAAATCAAAAGAGTCTTTAGAAGCTAAAAATATGAAAATAGAAATAAATAATTCAATAGAAGAGCTGGAAGACACAGCTGAAGAAATCTCCCAAAAAGTAGAACAAAAGAACTAAACTGAAAATGAGAAAGACAGAGGACTGGTTAAGGAGGTTTAAAATAAGAATACTTCTGGAAAGTTGCCTTGGCTGGTGTGGCTCAGTGGATTGTGCACTGGCCTGTGAACCAAAGGGTTGCCGGTTTGATTCCCAGTCAGGGCACATGCCTGTGTTGTGGGCCAGGTCCCCAATAGGGGGCGTACAAGAGGCAATCACTCATTGATGTTTATTTCCCTTTCTCCTGTCTAAAAATAAATAAATAAAATCTTTAAAAAAAAGAATACTTTTGGAAAGCAAAAACAAACCATGAAAGGAAGGAAAAAAATCAGTATTTCCCAAAACTGAGGGTCATAAATTTATATAATAAGATTAGCACAAAGGATGAACATCAAGCTCAAAGATGAGGAGAGACCCACACTAAGGCATATCAAATTGTGAAATTTCAGAACATATTCCAAATATAGTGTGTTCACTCTGAAAAGTCATCAAGTAAAGCATTTACATTATGCACCCTTTTCTACAAATACATTATGGTTAGATAAGATACTTACAAAATAAAGGAAGAAAGGAAGTAATGAAGAAATGAAATAAAGAAATGAATTACATCCTTTAGAAGTACACTGAAGAAATTAGTTTACTTAAGCAGAAAAACAACATGTTCTTCTTTTTTTAATAGAAAAATATTAGACGTGCACACAAGGCAGAAACTCGTCTTGGCATCTTTTATAAAATAGACTTACCTAAGAAAAAGAAGATTAAAAAGATGAACAGTGTGAAAGGACTGCAAATACACAGTTACTAACAACCACACCTAAAACAAAAGCAAACTAAGAGGACAGCTAGATCAGGAGCAAAACCATAGAAATGAAGATCACATGGAGAGTTGGCAATAGGGGAGGGGGAGGAGGAGAAGGGGGGAGAAGGTACAGAGAATAAGTAGCATAGACGGTAGGTAGAAAATAGATAGGGGGAGGGCAAGAATAGTAGGGAAAACATAGAATCTAAAGAACTTGAGACACATGGTCATAAACTAAAGGGGGGGTATGGTCGGAGAGGGGGTGTGCAGGGTGGAGGGGAATGAAGGGGGAAATTGAACAACTGTAATGGCATAATCAATGAAATATATTAAAAAATAAAAAATATTTTTAAAAAGTGAAAAAATTATTAGCTTAGGAGCTCTGATGAAATGCAACTCTTTAAAAATTAAATCAACTTTAAAAATTATGTTGGTAAAAAAATTGACCTTAGAACTCCATTAATTTTTAACCTTATTCCAAGGACAATAAACACAATCATGTGAACATAAAAAAAAAAAAAAAAATAGAACCAGAAGAAGTAAATGGTTAGACAACAGCCCAAGCACGGTGGGCTTCTCCACTGACGTATCGTTACTTAATGACTCTGTTATGCCCAAACAGTAGATCATGGATCTGATCATTTAATCTCTGTTAAAAAAAAAAAAAAGCTGAAACACATCGCAACTTCTTAGTGGGACATAGGAGAGCTCTTTCACTCCTCCCAAAGTGGCCTTCCACACTCTGGAAAAAATGTTGCACCAACACAATTTCGTAATCATGGAACTTAAAATAACAGCACAGCATACCTGTATCTTTCTTCAGAATAAGTAAATTATGATTCTCCAGGGGACGACCAAGACATTCCCACGAAGTATTCTCCTTTTTCTTTAGGACAATCTCTATCTTTCCCACATTCTTGACAACCCGCACTGAAAAGAATGTAAATTTCATTATGTTCACTGATACCCAACACAAAGTTTTACTTTAAAAACAATCTTTCTCAAATGATCTAAATGTTCCACTGTATCAATGACACAAATAAGTAGTAAAATTAATAAGATTTTGTACATATATTCATCAAAATTGTTTACAGCTTATATGATGTTAAATTCATCTTAATTTATTTTAGATTCAGATGAACCTCTTTAGAGCTAATTCATCAAGGACCAAACTAATATATATTACTAGTTTTCATACTAGCTCAAGTATGGCCATGGCATAAATAACACATAGCTAAAAAAGGGGTAGGGAGGCGCCATATACAGTGGCCATTGAATGGACCCATAAAAGCAAATTTAATTTACAACCGTTCAACATTTCTTAGTTTAGATCGGAGGGGTTCTTATGAATGAATTCAGTAGACCAAAACTGAGTCTAATGAACACAGAAACCACCTCAGTGAATGAGTCTCTATAAAACACATGTGAATCTTTGATGATTAAAAGCCTCATACATTTATTTTTGAATGATTAAAACAGTTTAGACTACATGGGTAAACTAATAAACTATAGACTTTTACATACTGATTAAATTTTATGAATTGAACGTGTGTTTAGAGACCTCAACTGTATTTCATTTGTCCCTAGAAACAATCCTCCTGTTCTTCCTCACCATTAACACAAAATTTCATAGCGATTTAACACCTTATGACAGGCAAATAAATGACTTCAATTCAACGAGCACTAATTTGAAGCTTACCAAACATAAAACAGTTTGTGACTTTAAGGAGCTAAATTTAAAGAATTTATAGAGTTACTATGGTACACAGAGAAGGAGAGAGAGAACCAGTGCAAAGTATTCTGACAGTATTTTCAAACAAGGGGAAAAAAGGAATATTATTCAGCCTTAAAAAAGGAGATCCTGCCATGTAACGACACGGGTGGACCTGGAGGATTTAATAAAAAATAAGCCAGACAGAACAGACAAATATGACATGGTATCTGTTACATGTGGAATCTTGGGGGGAGTGACATAAAGAAAGAGAGAGTGGAACAGTGACTGCTGGGGGCTGGAATTGGGAGGTGCACAAACTTTCAGTTATCGAAGGAATAATCTGAAAATCTAAAGCATAACATTGTGACTATAGGTGGTGACACTTCATTGTATAATTTAAATTGGGTAAGAGAGCAGTAGAACGTGTTCTCTCACCAAAAAAAGGTAAATATGTGGGATGACAAATATGTTATATAATGTTGTGAGAATCCTTTCACAGTGTATTCCTGTATCAAATCATGCTATATATATTAAATATACTTTTATTATACTTAAAATAAAGCTTAAAAAATCCCAAGAAATCACCATTCTATAATGAGTGTTCTATTGTTAAAAAACTGTGCAAAATCCACATTGTGTATTTGTATGCAATATTCATAATTTAATATGCTTTGTCAACATTAAACATTCAAATACATATACCTAAGAACAATCTGTCTGGCCTAGTCTATTTCTACAAGCTGAATGTCAGGAGTAGGGCAGAAATAAGGAATAAAGGAAGAATAAAAGGGAAACAAATGGTAAAGGGCGAAGAGATGGAAGGAATAAGGGGAAAGAAAAAACTGAATCAGAGGGAGATGAGTATATTTAAAAATTCATATATTTTTCTAGTTTATCTAGGAAACATCACATTTTTGTTTTGCAACGGGCATACATATGGTAGAACAAATTATTTCCATCCCCTTCACATAGCATACATATGTATATGTGCATGATGCATATATGTAATTATTTTTTGTAAGGTTTACCAGAAAAATCTTCTTGAATCTCATGGCTTAGTCCTAGAAAAGAAAAATATACATTTAGTTAAAATCCAACCTTAATTCATACAGTTCATGAACATCAGAGATTGTTTAAATGGTTCTTTTATGAACCACTTCAAGTGTCTCAAGATAAAAAAAAATATAAGGAAATACCAAAAGAAAGATATTGCATAGAACTGAAATGTGGAGTCAAATTATTTAAACATACTACATACATTTCTTCATTTTTCCATTTCTCTCCCTATTAATTAAATACCCAATTGTTCACAGGTGGGTAACCCGCACCGTTCTAAGTATGGTCCCAGACTGACTATCCTACGAACCAAGAGGAGAGCAGGCAGGGAGAGGCACGCAAGTTCCGGTGTGTGCGTGTGCACTTGTGAATACAGGCCACACCGGAATCTCGCCCCATTTTTCCTTTCTTACTGTTCTCTAAAGTTGAATGCTCCTTCAGTTACTGAGAAAAGGTTACTGAGCGCCTGTGTGTGCCATGCACTTTCTAGGTGTTACGGGTACAGCAGCTGGTGAAAGAGAAAAATCCCCGCCCTTATGGAACTTAACATTCCAGAAGAAGAAGATATAAGAAATATTTTTACAGACATTTGCTCTAAATTTCACTGTGTTAATATGGTTATCTGAAACTAAAAGTTTTATGTTATTTTAGTCTTCTAATCCATATTACCAACCAAGAGTTTCATATTTTTTAATGTTATTTTTGTTTGCTTTTTATAAGTATGCCAGATATGTTAGCTATGTATAGCATGAATGAAATCAGCCATAATATTTAAAACATAATAGATGCTGGGCACAGAGGTTTTACAAAAAGAAAAGTTATGACAGTGCTAATAAATAACAATACTTTCCTAGAAATGTGTTTTCTAGACATCTCCTATAAAAGGCAATTTATTAGGCTAACAAAAAATAGGATAGGACATATTTCTAGGAGAAAGGCTGTTGGTATGAGGTTAATTAATCAATGGAGGAAAATAAGAAAGAAAAAGACATTTATCATTCTGACCAAATTCAGAAATACAGGTACCTCATTAATATAACAAAGCATCAAGCAGAATCCTAAGTCAGCTGAGACCTACGGAATTTCAGTCTGTGTTTTACAAAAGTAAATGAAATGTTCTTTATATAAGAACTCATGCTTAAAACAACAACCAAGATGATTTTCTTCTTCCTGTTATTTTTGTTTGTTTCATTTCTACCTTGTAATTATAATGTAACCTTCACAGAATGAGAAAAGGGTAAAATACTAGAGTCAAGTTCATTATGGGTCACAGCTGGATTCAGAATCCAGTATCTTTTATTCCATATTCAGTCCTGATTTTCTTTCTTTCTTTTTTCAACTTCATTTTTATTATTGGCACTATTATGGATGTCCCTGTTCCCCGCCGGCCCATTTGCCCCCTCCAATCAGGCCCCGCCCCCTTTCCCTGTGGCCATCACCCCACTGCTGTCTGTGTCCGTGGGTTATGCATGCATGTTCTTTGGCTGATACCTTTACCATCTTTCATGAAGTTCCTCCCTCCACCTTCTAGGTCTGCAATCTCCCAAAACAAACTGCATGCTTGCTCTCTGACCATGGAAGTTACAAGAGAGCCTTGCAGCCCATGCTGCTTTGGTGCAGCCTCTGACTGTCCCATGACATAACCGGCAAGAAACAAGCCGATGAAAACTAGTGCCTTGTGATGAGTGCTCAGCAGACGATGTAACAGACAAGCTGCCAGAGCTCTGTGTGTAGGAGTCGAGTGAGAGTCTTACGAAGCTGGGCCAACAAATACTTCATACTATTACACAATTTTTACATCGAACTGTTTCAATTTTGGAAGGTGAGATTATACTGCCATTTGACAGCAATGTCATTAGTATGAAGAAGTAACAAAGAAATTGATCAAAATGATAAACCAAAATAACATATTAAATATTAAATAAAAATAACAGCAGATAAAATATTTAGTATCTAAACTTCAGACCAAGTTATTGCCACAATTAAAAGAAATTGGAGTTGTTCCCATTAATAAGGAATAAGATACTTACCAACATGTACAAGATATGAATAATCCTTGATGATTGTTTCTGCTCTAAAGGTGTCGAACTGATGATCAACTATTACTGACTCTAAATTGATATCCTTAAACAGAAACCAAAAGAGAAAGATTAAAAAGTAATTTTCCCCAAACTTCAATGACTATACGATGAGGTTTGTCCAGAAAAAGTCAATTGTTAATATAACAAGAATGGTTTGCACAACCTCGATGTAACCTGGCAGCCAAGGAGAGTGGACTGCAATGCATATGCATGAACCATGCTGACTTCACTATAACAGTCAGTAGTGGCAGTAGATGCCATTGAGTGAGCATGTGTACTGTGTGGCTGTCACATTCAAAATGAGCAAGTAGAGCAATGAATCTGCATCAAATTTTATGTTAAACTTGAACATTCCTCCATGGAAACTATTTGAATGACTTGGAAGGCCACAGCTATGGACAACTAGTGACTGGCAGCTTCATCAGGATGTGTCTGCTCATGCATCACAACTTGCGCAGAGTTTTTTGGTAAAACATCCAATCACTCAGGTGACTCAGCCCCACTACAGCCCAGATTTGGTGCCCTGAGACTTCTGGCTTTTCCCAAAACTAAAATCACCTTTGCAAGGGAAGAGATTTCATACCATTGATGAGATTCAGGAAAATATGATGGGCCAGCTGATGGTGATTGGGAGAATTTTGTGAGGTCCCAAGGTGCCTACTTTGAAGGGGACTGAGGCGTCATTGTCCTATATACAATGTTTCTTGTATCTTATATTTTCTTCAATAAACGTCTCTATTTTTCATTTTACATGGATGAATACGTTCTGGACAGAAGTCGTACTTCTAAGATGATCAGTTAGCACTTCACATGGCACTTCTTTACAGAACCCATGAACATTACTACTGTTTGTTTTTTTTTTGTCCTACAACCCAGTTCTCTTCAAACCACATACTGCAATCTGAATTATATACCTATCTATACTTACTACCTACCTTACTCATTTGTCTTTCTCTAAGCTCTAGACATAAGAAACTGCACAGAGAAGTTTTTAATCTTCACCCAAGAACACATTTCCATTGATTTTCAGAGAGAGAGGAAGGGGATGTGTGTGGGGGGAAGAACATCCATGTGAGAGAGAAACATCAATTGGTTGCCTCCCGTACGCACCCCAACCGGGAATGAGACCTACAACAAAGGTGGCATGTGCCCCGACCAGGAATCAAACCAGCAACTCTTTGGTACATGGACTGATGCTTCAATTGAGCCACAAGGCTAAGGCTGCATATAGAACACTGCTTGGCACCTAGTAGGTGTTTAATAAATATTTGTTGAATAAATAATTTGGCAAAAACCATTATAATTAAACCAGGAGCCAAGATACATGTGCTCATTTTATTCTGGTGACTTGTGTGATGCCAGCAAATTACACAGCCTCTCAACCTCAGCTTATCACAAAAAGAAATTCAGTAACAACGTTTTAGTGTGTCTAATTACCACATAGCCTTGGTGCCAGTTATTTTAGTACCTATCATTTACAGGGACCATTTGCAACCAGTGTGCCACAGGCAGGTTTAACACATGCAATACCTAACTAGTCGGGCACTGCTCTTTTCCCTTAGGTTGTCAAATAAAAATGACAACAGCCAAAATAACAATAACCATCTGGTGTGAATGAATCAAAATTATACTAATTTTTTGCCAGATTGGCAAAAAATATATTTTTTGGTGTGTCACAGAATTTTAGTAATTACTTTATGTGTGCCATGGGATGAAGAAGGTTGAAAATCACTGACTTATATTATACTCCGAACACATCACTACACATGGAAGACTTCCCCCTTCCCTTGGGCACCCACCCTCTGTGCCTCACTGACACGACAACTCCCCTAGGCCCTGCCTGCTTGGTTTCGCACTGTGCGATGAGGAGACTATAACAAGAGCCAGTAGAAGGCGGGACAAGCAGTGCCTCTGGCCCTCCTGGCTGTATCAGGCAGAGGCTGGTTGCTCTTATGGAATGGTCACTTCGTGCCGCAAGAGTCAGAGGAACTCACTGGCTCAGAAGTGGTTCTGCTACTACAGAAGCAGCGTGGGTTCTCACAAACTCCTAGCTGCCAGAACTTGTTTTTAAATCCACATGGTCCCCCAAGTGTGAGAACCTTGTCATTTGTTGAAGGATGTGTTTGGAGGTGCTATAAGGTGCCTGCATATTTATTTGATTTCCCAGCTGGACTACAAGCCCAACGAAAGCCAAATCTCTGTGTCTAGTGTATTACTGGATCCCTGCCATCTGAGAGAGCACTGCAAATAAAGCGGGTGGTCAAGAAACAGTGAATGAAATATGTCCTGAATTTCAGTTTCAAGAGGGCACGTGAACCCCATCAGTGGTTTAAGCACACTAAGCCACAACAGTGCCATCTCTCCTGTCTCTCAAATCCCAATTCATGGCAAGAAATTAGTTCTCATGATGAAGTTAAATGGGATTCTCACTTTTGTCATCTGTGCTTCAAGAAAAAAAAAATAGAAAGGCGCATACACTTGCTAGTCTAGTTTTCTCTAAGAGGACACAATGTGACTGTTAAGAACATACGCAGTGGAGCTAGCCTGGTGGGGTTCGAAAAGCTAGATCTGTCACTGCGTGACTTTGAGTAAAGTACTTAACCTTTCATTGTTTTCTTACCTGTGAAGCAGGGATAACAAAAGTATTTACCTCATAGAGTTATTGTGAAGAGTAAGTTAATACAAGAAAAGGGTTCAGAGAAGTACCTGGCACCTGGCTAACATGGATCTTAAAGATGCGCTTACCTTCTGTTTAGTATATATGACAATGGTGACTGAAGAGTCTGTTTGGAACCAGTCATAGCTGCAAAACATCAGGAGAAGAATAACTATATCGACAATCATGTACATTAACATATACTAAATCATTAAATGTTTCACATCTACAATGAGAAATATATTTCTCTAGGGAAACTTTTCCCCTAAGTGATCAGTGGTTTTATCAGCTGGCAATTATTTCCAAATTTAAAATACCTATACTCCCATGTGTTCCAACTTGGACTCAGAAAAAGTTATCTTTGACAAGACACTTTTTATAAAAATTGCACATCTCCTTACAGAAGCTTCTTTTATCAAAGCAATAACAAAACACAGTATGTTTCCTTAAAGAACATGACAAAATCGACAAGCTTTCATTCCTCCCTGTCACAAATATATTACTACTCAAGAAATTAATTCAAGTTTGTTATCGGATAAACAGTAAAACTTAAGGAAAAACTAAGCCTTCTGTTTTGTAATAGCTATTAATCAAACTGATGCATTAGTCACACATCAGTGTGACTAAATACTAAAGGAGGTATCCTTAGGCCCTTATCCTATATAAAACATTTAACAGATTGCATATGAAATAACTCAACAAATTTAACAAATTTAACAAATATAGCAGGATGCTGCTGATAAAATATAGATTGATAGGGAGAAAGACAGAAAGAGAAAAAAGCTACAAAGAATACACATAACCCTGAGGGCACTTGAAATGGCACTAACAAAAATATATATGAATTACTTAATTTACTAAGACAGCTGGCATGTAATAAATACATTTTAAAAGATTTCCATTAAAGTGATATAATCAATTAGAATACAAAAAACAGAATAAATTAATTATAGTATGGTTATATAATGTAATACATACAAAAATGCTTTTACAGAATATTTAATGACATAGGAAATTAGTCACAGAATATATCATAGTACTAGTAATATATATCAAAAGGGAATCATTTGGAAATAGGTATTATATGAATCAAACTGGGTGAAATAAACCAAATATTAGAGCATGTACCTAGGGGTTGATGGGATTATAATGGATTTTTATCACTTTCTTTTGTATTTCTCTGAATTTTCAAAGTTTTCTACCATGAATGTATATTTTATAATCAAAAATTTTTTTGAAGTTTTTTTTAAGTTTTGGTGTTTAAAACAAGTCAAACTTCAGTATGTTAAAAACATATTTACAGAACAGTTCATTCACCAATACTGCCTGATAAAGCACTGTAGTTGTTTTTTTTTAATATTTAGAAAGTGGGAAAGGAGGAAGACAGAGAGAAAGACACGTTGATATGTGAAGAAGCATCAGTCAGTTGCCTCTCACATGGCCCCAACTGAGGACCCAGCCTGCAACCCAGGCATGTGCCTCACTGGGAATCGCACCACCGACCTTTCAGTTCGCAGGCCAGCAATCCACTGAGCTGTACCAGCCAGGGCCACTCCACAGTTCTTGGGGCAAAGAAGTACAACTAATACAGTGAGCAGTTGGTAAACCATGGCTGTTTTTTTAATGTGTATGTTTTGATCTAGAACTAACTTAGCTTTAAAAAAGTCAGAGAAGAACGCCTACCTTGGAGAAACAGGGCTTTCTTTGGCCAGCATTCCTGTCACTTGGCTCTTAGGAAGCATGCCTTCATAAAAAAAAAGATAGCCACGGTTCATCAATGGAGCATTTTTCTTTCTTTTAATCTTTTCAGCAAACTTATTGAAATATTATAAAAAGGACACAAATGACAGATGTGATACTGTCACATTCATAAACATCCATAATAAATGTTTATGAAGTACACATAACACTTGCAGCCAGCACCTTGTCTGCGTCCCTCCCAATCACCATCCCTGTTCTGACTTAACATCATGATTAGTTTATGCCTGTAGGTGACCTTTCTAAAAATGGAATATGATATGCTCTCTTTTGGTCCAGCTTTCTTCTTTTTTTCTCTTTGGTCCAGCATTATAGACCTTACAGTTCTGGTGTCAAATAAGCATGATTGAGTATGCAATAAATACACCTGGAGCTATCACCATGATGTTGAATGCATCAGTAGCTTGTCCCATTTTTATTACTGAGCAGTATTATGATGTAGGACTGTACCAGAATCGATTCATCCTTCTGTTTGAGAGTTTTAGTTGCTCCATGACCTCACTAATATGTTTTTCCCCCACTTCATTCATACTTGTGGGCATATGTCAACAAACATTCTAAAAGTGCAATAAAGCTTGGTTTTCAAATTATATTAGAAAACTTTGAGACACGGGAGAATTCTGGAGATTCTGTAAACTTTAAATATTGGGTTGGTCAAAAAGTTCATACGGTTTTTTCCATAAAATAAAAAACATGTATTTTATTTTCATCAACAACTTTATTGATTTGGGTATCTTGAGTATGTCTGCTATCTCCCGTGTGATATGTTTATTGTTATCAACTACTGTCTTGATTTGATCACTGTCAACTTAAACAGGTCTACCCAACAATGGAGCACCACCCAGAAAGGAATCTCCAGCATGAAACCTCACAAACCACTTTTGACATGTCTGATCAGCCACAGCACTTTCTCCACACACTGCCAAAATCTTTTCATTTACATTTCAGTTGCATTTTTACCTTTCTTGAAATGATAAAGCATAATACAATGGAAATGTTACAATTAAGTTCTCCTAGAACCATCTTACGGGAAAAAAAAAAAAAACTTTTTGGCCAACCCAATAGTCCCTCTACCCCCCACAACAGTAGTGCATTGTTGTATCTATAAGATCTTATTTTGGAAAAAGAGTACTGCTGAGAGTTGAAAAGCACTGCATTGATTATATTATTATTTCTCAAACTGCACAGGAAAAAATAGTTAATGTTTAGTCTCTGGTGAGTCTTGAAATTCTGAATCAAAAATCACAGCTGTTATGTAACGTTAGAGTAGGGAGGTACCTTTAAGACAAGCTAATTTAGAGGTTTTCGAGATTCTTTTTAGTCACAGAAGCTTCTGTTGAAACATTAGCTTAAGTGAAAGCACAGGTTTCAAACAGCCACATTTTTTTTGGATGAGGCTGACTGTGAACCTGAGTTCAGGTTGTACTCAGCATCCCATGTAATTCTGCAGGACACTCTTAATTTTCAGATAAACAAAGGAAGTCTGGGAGATGTGATAAAACAAGGCCAAAGATATCAAGCAATCAGCAGTGAGCCTAAACAAGAATGCTTCACCACAAATATACAGGTGTAATAAAACAGGTAAGACTATAATACGTAATTGAAATGTATTCTTTCTACAATGACAAAAAACCTTATTAAAATGTTTGAAAAGCTCTAAAAGATATTTTATGAAGCAATATATGAAGGAGTACCCCCCAAAACCTCAGAACTATCTTCTGGAGGGCAGGCCCCTTGCAGTCCAGGCTTCTCCCACTAAGTGAGTGTTCCAGGAGCCCATCTGTATCAGTGAACCTGCTGGCATCGTTGTGAGAGGCTGTGTTTGGCTTCAGTGAATTTTTTGGAAGATGCCTTCAATGTGTTTGCCCACTTCATAATGGGTGAATTTCAACTGCACCTGCCCATACCACGCTCAATGTTTTGCAGTTTTTGACCAAAAAGGGCATGACCCCCTGTGCCTCACCCTCCCTAAGACCTGATCTCACCCCAGTGACTCTTTTTTTGTTCCCTTGGATGAAAAAAGTCCTCAAAGGGAATGTCTTGCCAATGTGAAAGAGGTGAAACAAAAAACGGCAGAAGCACTAAAAAAGCATCAAAATCAACGATTTCAGAAGCTGTTTTGAGCCGTAGAAAAAACATCTTAATAGGGTACTGCATTAAATGGAGGAGAGCACTTTGAAGGTGACTGAAGTTTAAACATGTAAGAATAAATGCACATTTTTTAATAAATAATTCCAGTGGTTTTGGGTGCCCCTCATATTCATATATCATCTTTTGGAGGCCTCTTACATAAATAAAAGAAAACAAACATGTCACAATCTAAGAATTTTTATAAGAAAAAGCTATCAACAGAATTCATAAATTGTCACTTAATAATTTTGATCTTATATCATCTTATTAGGACCAGAAAATCTGGACACTGTGATTTTATGAAAAGCACTGATGCCTCTTCTTCAAATTCAAACTAGTACAGAAATCTGTCCTGCAATCTCATGAGAGAGCAAATAAGGCAATGCCTGAATATTCTAAAAACTACATAGTACCATACAAATTTAAATTATTACAAGAGAATAATACCATGGGCCAAATAATACACAATACCTTACACATACTATCCTTGGGATAAGTTGAAGGAATCTGATATGTTAATATGAGGTGGAATAAAATAATTAGGTAAAGTAAGCTAGACTGAGTGAACATTCTCCCTCCCAAAAGTGCTGACCTGATGGATGGATACCACTTTGGAGGGATCAGGTATCTAATGGAACACTATAGTAGTCTACCCCACTCAGTATTTTAAACAACTGTATAGGGCAGGCAGATCACATCTGCAAATACACAGACTGACCACATGTACTTAAATGAGCCAGATATGAGAAGCAGCTAATGTGGCAAGAGTAAGTTTATAGTTGTAAGTATGCGAAAAAGTTCATTCCTGTATTATTATTATTGTAATCATAACCTACTTGTCTTCCCATACAACCTTAAATCTACTTTTGCTCATCCCTGTATATATATGTGTGTGTGTGTGTATAACAATGCCAGAAGATCTAAGGTCTTAAGAGATAACAATGCTGGCCAGACCACTGATATGCTATAGTTCATTTTTAGGGGCACCTGTAATGGAGATACTAGTTAAATGCAGTGCATCCAAAGCAAGGCAATAGGAGAGTAAAGGTTCTGGAAGCCATATGTGATGGGAAATAAAATGCCCAGTCTATCAGTAATCAGTCTTTAAATGAAGGTTGTTTGCATAGAATCACCGAAGAGCCAATCATCAGATGGAATTTAAGATCAGTGCCTCCTTTATGCAGCATTATACAATGGACTAGCAACTTCAGTTGTTACATTGCAAATTGCATAAATTAGTCCACAATATAAACTATTTTTTCTAGTTATAAAATGGTAACTCATCTGACAATGTAGCTTATTAGCTGAATTTCTAAAACTTTCTTTTAAAGAGAGAAAATACCCTATTTCTAAACACATATGCATATAGTTCAGTTGCAATTCCAAGTCATACTGAGTGGCTGAAGAAGCCACCGCTGCTGAGCCCAAAGAAGAGGTCAACAGGCTACTGAGCATCTGCATGCAAACACTGGAGGTGAGCTTACCTGCCTGGGGAGGGGACTTGTTCAGTCCTGCTTCCTAATGACTACAAGTCTTCAAGCTGAGGGCAGATGGACACATTCTCAGGGATGTCACAGAAGGGACTACTATAAGTGTAATGGCTGGAATATGTGATCTATAATGTTCTGTCAAATCCTCTAGGTTTGAGCAAGTATAGACATCTTGAATATAAAAAAAATATCTATATACCCCAGATAATTCTGTGAAGCAACATTATACATAATCATGTTAGTATGATTTTTTTTACTATAAATTTATGACTTACCATTTAAGACTTTCTTTTCCTCACGACAGTCTGTACAGTGATTTAGAAAAAATCAGATAAGAATATTATAATACCAAAGTTAATATTATTAATTTAAAAGTATCAGCCCTTTTTTCTTGAAGGGCTTTCTTCTAAGGCTGGAGAGGGAAATAAGACTAATGAATAGATGGCCCGTTTTTCAAATAAGTTTCATCTCTGACACTTGCCTGGCCATCTGTCCAGGTGTTTGTCTTCCATGTCTCTGGGCTTTTTTTCCCTGGACATTTTTTTCTAACATCCTGGTAAATTATTTTAGAAAGCATATAAAACCCATTTTGCAGATTATCATATTCTAAATTAGTCAAAATTAACCAGAATTTATTAGATTATATTTTATAACTCATACATATTAAAACCCCCAAACTGATACCTTATTGTTTTGTTGTAGATAGGCCAGTATGTAGTGGGGTACAGGGTGAGGGGTACCCAGGAAAATAGTAGAAAGCCCCCACAGCCTTTGGTTGGGGGATGTGGGAAGTGGAAGATATGGCTTAGAATACTTTTCATAATAAAGCCTAGTTTATAGCTGTGCTACTGCCTCGGGGAAAAGTGGGCATGACTCAGACTATACATGTAACCAAGTAAGGTGGAGGCCCTTGGGTCACTAAGTCACATTTGCCCTGTTGGGAGATGGCAGCTGAATGAATACAACTATACAGGAAATTGGCAAATGTAGCTCATTGTGGGAAGTTGGAGATGAGGTCATGCAGCAGTCTCTGGGTCAGGATTTAAACTAAGGATGGGCAGCCATGAGGGGATTTGGCCATGCAGCTTGGAAGGGAGTGGAAGAGCCAAGAGAGAGCCACGATGCAGCTGGTACTACAGGAAGATTCCAGCAGTCTGTTAGTAGTGAGACAGGAGCCATGTGGGCCATAGGGACTGGTCTGCCATTGGCTAGTAAGGAAGCAGGCATGCTGCTTTGTCCGTGCCTGCTCTAGCTGACTCTGAGGCCCTGAAGAAACTCTCCTTGCAAGACACTGACCCACTGTCTTGCAAACCCAGGCTCTTTCTGTACTCTTGGAACTTTCCTGGACTTCACCATGATCCAGTTTAACACAGCACATGCTTTCTTGGACTATTACAACAGAGGCTGATGACAGTGCACCCAAGATTCTAAAGGAGAGAGCTGCTGTGAGACTGGCTTAAGCAACTAAAGCAACTTAAGGTGTTTAAGCAACTGGCTTAAGATAAGGAAACAGGGAACTACTGGGCTTGGTTTTGGCTTATAGCCTATTGGGGAACAAGGGAAGTGCTAGGTCTAATGGGAAAGAAGGGCTCCGAGCATAAATGCTCCAACCACTCCCCTCCCACCCCAAGGTTAGAACATTGTAAAAAAACAAAACAAAAACAAATGTTTCTCCCAATACTGATTGTTGGATCATTCACCAAGGTGCCATGTGGATGGGCCCCTGTCTGCTAGTTTACAAGTGCTTAAAATCACCACTGTTACTCCAAATTTAAAGGGCCAAAATGCTAAAAATATGCTGACTTTCACATGTATATACAACACAATCATTAGTGTCACAACTCAGAAAAAATCTTAGCAGGTATTTTCTTTCAGGATTGCAGCTGGCTCACAAATCTATACCTTCATCACAAGAGTTATACCAAACAGTCAAAATAAACCCTCAGTACGTTGTCAGGTTTTCTATAAAAAATTGAGTGGCAAGCTAGTAAACAGAAGAAAATCACTTGTTACTGTGAAATCATACCTGTTTCATAGAAAAAGAAATGTAAAGCTTTCAAATGTTTGTGTTTTGATTTTCCATTAACCAGAGATCTCATAATTACCTCCATTTCGCTCACCTGTCATAAAATAATCATGATTAAGGAGTCAGAAGACCAGTCTTTTCTTATTTTCCAAAATAATTTCATAGCTGAAAGGGATCTTAAGATACAGCAAATTACCAACGATCCCCTCATGTACAACTGATGGTCAGAGGTCAAGGACTTGACGGAAACCCGCAGCTCTTGAGCAGCAAAACCAAGATTATACTTATCTCTTCTGAAATTAGCACCACACTTCTCACTGTGCCATTACTAGAGTTAATACTTACTGAAAACACAACAGACCTGAAAACCATTTAAATTGTAGTTCACAATGAGCTTTGTTTATCAAATGGCAGATAAAATCTAGTCATAACAATACACAAGGGACTGCTGATGGCCCTGCTCCGTCGCTGCCTCTCAGTCAGTCAGTTTCGTCTGTCTTTGCGACTGCGGTTGTGATTGTTTTATCTCAGGACAAACAACAAACTTGCAGTACCACAAGTAAATGTATTTTCAGTGTACCACACAGCAGGCAGGCACTCAATCCACTGAGCCACACCAGCCAGGGCCCTGGGTCTTTTTCTGATACAAAAATTAACATCAGGAAGAGAACTTCTACTTAATGATCTAAATTACCTTTAAAAACTCTGCTAGCCTACTTTTGCAGCTCTTCAAAAATTGAGCCATAAAAAAATAAAATTACTTTTTTTGCTATTAAGTATATTTATATCTGAATCATTTTAGTCACATGAGACACTTTCCCCTCTAACAAGAAATGTTATCCTGTCTTGACAACTAATTTGATCATTTGGTTGGCTCCAAGGCCAAGAGAATTGATTCTTTTCTCATAATGCTGTGTGAACTGCATTATTCTGATTAGAGCCCCTGCTTTCTGGAGAGGTCAGCATCATTAGGATGGCTAGCCCTGTGATCTATTATCACTCTACTCTTCTTTGGTAAGAAGGCTGGGTAAGGAATTTTAATCGTGACCTGGTTCTAGTTTCCCTTTGTTGAATGGAGCCACAGGCAGACCCCCTATGAAAACAAAACAAAACAAACCTCCTGCTTTACCAGTATGCTCATTCTTAACAAATAATCTTTGATCATGATTTTAACAGGGATACTGACATAATAAGAAACCAATGGATAAAAAATTAGGAAAATATAAACATACATTCAGTTTGTTTATGCATGCATAGAGATTTGGAAGGATTCGCACTAAATGTACTGATGTGGTTCCCTGTGGGTGTGCATGGCAGGGGAAGAAGGTAGATGGGAGACAGGTATGATAAGGGCACTTCTCATTCTTGAATTGTGTGAATGCATTCCTTATTCAAAAATTAAGTAAACCTAATTAAAAGGAAAATGCTGATATGTTCTTTTTTATGTTTTTTAAATAATTTTATTTAGTTATCTTTCAAGTACAGTTTTTTGTCTATTTCTTCCATCCCAGCCCCGCCCCCGCCCAGTGCTCCCCACCTCCCTCCCATTTCCACCCCCCTTAGTTCTTATCCCTGTGTCCTGCATATTTGTTCCTCCAAATCCCTCCCCTTTTCCCCCCTTAAATTCCCTCTCCCCTCTGGTCACTGTATGTTCTTTTTAATACCACGTGATACATGCTGTAAAAGAGGTGTGTAGAAGGTGGTATGGAAGCCCACAGGGGGTGCCATCTGTACTTACAAGGAATTTGAAAGGACTCCACTGAGGAAGTAATATAATAGCTGTCTTTTAAAACTACATAGGCATTTGTCAGAAAGGCCCTGAAAAAATATTTTAGGAAGACAAATACTGAGCATTTACATCTGAATGTTTTACATTTGTCATGTAGCTACATTATCTCATCTTCCCATCTCACTCTAAAAGACTGATGTCCTGAAACCATCAGATACGACTTCAGTCTTGTTACCCAAACGTTCCCTTCTGTGTTCCCTTTACTGCTGGGCCTTGCCAGAAGACTTGATGGCTCTGCTCTCTACAATGTGTTTAACAGCCATTTTTCTCTAGAAAGTTCTTCCATATCTCTAAATGGAAGTCCTCATAACACAACTTAGGCCTCATTCTCATTCTTGTTTCAAAAGTTACATACTCGTTTCTCCCATCTTATAAATTTTATTTCTAAACTATCTATCTTTACTTTTTGCTTTCCTCTATTCATCTTTATAATCATCTTCTGAATCATCTTGAAATGTTATGCATCTTTCAAAGATTAAGGCCCAAAATTACTCTTTATCCCAGAAGCTGTTTACCAGTAGAATTAAAACAAAGACTGAAGAGTTCAAATAGGTACTCAGATAAATCCCAGGTTTAAACTCAGGCAAGAGATTCTAGCTGCAGAAGCAAAGTAAGACAACCTGACCGAGATAACAACTTGCTCATTCAATACAGGCCATTTCATCATGACACCCTGCCCCTCTCCCTCCACTAGTGACTGTCTTGCTTCTCTCCTACCACCAACCTCAAAGCTTCTGTTTTGCCCACCCACCTGAGCCCTGAATTGTCCTCATCTTACCAATGAGGAAACTGACATTCTAGGAGAGAGAACTTTGACTCTTACAGAAGGTGAACTTCCAGCCCATCCAATGCTATCTTGTCTACATACCAGCTTCACAAACATGTGCCACTAATACCATCAACTTTAAGAACAAAAAACCTAATTCATATAGGAAGGTTTCTCTACTTCGGCACTACTAAAATTTGGAGCTGGATAAGTACTTATTGTGGGAGTCTATCTTGTGTGTTATAGGGTACTTAGCAGAATCCTGGACTTCCCATCCACTCACTAGAATATCAGGAACATTTAGCTTAGTTGCAGCAACCAAAATGTCTCCAAACATTGCCAAATACCCTCTGGGAACAAAATCAACACCAGTTAAAAACCACTGGCATATAGCAAAGGAAAATTAATGATGCTTTCAAAAGTAGGTTAACTTTGATGAGGTGATTCTTTGCCTTACAAAAGAAAGCACCCATGCTTTCTTTAAGTGGTGGTATTAAACACCTATAGCTTTTAGTAAGGCACATACACATACATGCCTCAGTATCCTCACTTCTAAACCGAGAGAGTTAAAACAGGTTTAAATACCTCTTCCCTCTAAGTATTCTATTGATCCATGTTCTAAGTTACTTGCACTCATTAAGTGATCGAGAGAATGGACATGAAAACTAAAAACATAAAAGTAACAGAAATCTTGAAAAAGCAGTGAGAAATTGAGAAGAAACATTCCTGAGACTGTACTATGTCATTGGAAAATATGACATTTTAAAAAATGTGACTTATGGTAAATTTTTTTGAAGTACATTTATTGTCTAGAACAGCACTGTCCAGAAGAAATACAATGCAAGCCAGGAGTATAACTTCTAATGTTCTGACAATTACATTAGCAAGGTAAAAATAAACAGGCTAAGTTTTAATAGTGATCTTTACTTAATACATTATATCTAGAATATTATCACTTGAACATGTAATCAATATAAAATTATGAGATATTTTACCTTCTTTGTTTCATACTTAAAGTCTCTAATGCAGTGTGTATTTGGTCCTTGTAGCATATTGCAATCTGCACTAGGCACATTTTGAATGTTCAACAGCCACAGGAGGCTAGTGGTTACCGTGACAGCAAAGGACTAGGATAAGGGCAAAAATTAAGAACACTTTTCATCTTTGCCAGAGAATGAGAGTTCCACATAAATAAATTATTAACAACTAAAACTTAAGTTTTTGAAGTTTCTTTTTATTCATTATTGATGTATTTCTAAAGATATCAATACAAACCGTAATATTTTTCAAACAAAGGATTATAAAAATCACCCTGAGTGCTTAACGAGGATCCATTTAGTATCATTTCACATTCTGACTCTGCTGGCTTTTCCGTTTGCCTCCTAGATACCCAGGCATCTCACCACTGCCACACTAGAAACCACTGGGTAAAGTGAACACTACACTGCCTTACTGTGGGGATGCCCTCGGAACGCCAATTCTGGATCCCCCTGCATTGGTGTCTGGCAGGTCACCCCACCTAAAAGACGGTGTCAGGGGTCTGATACTGAGAGAAGCCCATGCATATATAACATTCCTCTTTAGTACATCCACAGTCCCCCCCCACCCCCGCCCCACCTCCACAAATCATCTCAGCAACAATCTCTTTCCACCTACTACTCCCAATTTAATTGTTTTCATCCTCTGTTCTTATCTCACCCAGGAGTTGTAATGATAGAGGAAACACATGCCCTGGGTCGCCAGAGTCAGTGCACTCCCTCTTATCCCAGCATAATTACTAACAGAACCCTCTTCCATTATCGAAACTGCCCCAGTTCAGACGATTACACAGTTATCCCATAACGCAGTCTCTGTCTTAAGAAACAGGCACTGGAGCTAGCTCATCACTCTGGACTGCTGTTTCTAACTGCCCTTTTGTTTACGAATGTCTGGGGATTTCCTTGTGATTGAATCTGCTCATTTTAAGTGGTGTTTGTTGTATCTGGTGAGGCATTTTGAGGATTATTTGTCTTTCATTTCCAGGGAGGAAGGAAAGAAACCAGAAAAGTCTTTTCACTAATTGGCAGAAACCTAAAAAGCCTGGCATATGTTCTGATTACCCTGAATGGTTAAGAACACATGGATTTTGGTACCAGATTGTGCAAATAAGATATATAACATTCAGAATAAGGTAAAATTATTCATTCAGAAATTTTAGCTATAATCTTATCTCCTACAGGCAATGAATCTGTGAACTTAGGGACCAATTAAAAGGAAAAAGGGATTGGTTTACAAGAGTAAATTGGTTGAGAGAATTTCCAAACACCCAAGTTCAAAATAGTTTGCTTTTGGTATATACATACATAGCTTATTTGTTTTTGTAGTAATAGGAACAAAAAGAAAACTTTTTTTTGAGCATCTGTTTACTCTCACTGTGCAAGGAACTTTACTCATATTAATTCTTAGCCTACGAATCACTGCACAGATTTAAAAATTGAGGCTCAGGGATCAAAACTGGCTCAAAGATTGCACAGCCAATAGGTCTTAGAGTTGGGGTTCAATCCAGGTATGCCTGTGCTATTTCCATACTGCTGATGCAGGCCTCTAGCAACAAGGCCTGGAATTACAAAACTCACTGAACTAAATATAAATGGAAGGCTCGGGTCAAACAAGCCAATTTATTCCTATTTGTGTGTCAAAGTCAGGAGCGCCCGAAAAATAAATAAATAAATAAACAAACCAGATTCCTTCCACAGTAAAGGATTAAGCAAAGTATTCCTGCTATTCCTATTGCTTGTCTAAATTTTCAAACAGTACTCTTCTGAACAAAGCTTAGGAGATAAAGAGATAAACTACAAAACCCTGCATATTGTACAACCACAGGTTAGAAGGTAAGGAGAAAATGGATTGTATTTTATAAGTTGCTTAAAATCAGAACATGGGTTTTCTATGGTAATGAATCAAGGACTTGAAACGTTGAAGGCAAATGGGAGACAAAACGGGGAGGAAAAAATTTCACTGTATAACTCTTTTTATATTTCCTCATTTTTGAGTTATGTGAATATATTACACATTCAAAACATTAATTCTAAAAAACTAGTCTAAAAGTCAACTCTGACCAAGTGCTCTAGCAAATCTAAGAAGAGAATAAAAGACTAGTGAAAACTAGATATAGAGGAAAGGAAGTTCTTTCACTTCCATAATACTTAATACTCATAGCATGAATGTTCTTTCTAAATGTCAAAAATTTAAGGTTAAAGTCTGTGTTTCATTCTAAAGAACTAAAGTAAAACCTTCACAGTGGCTAGACCAGGAAGCCAGTGAAAATGAGAACATAGTGATTTTTTTAAATCTATTTGTTAAAATCCAACTTCCAAAAAAACCACGTGCATGAAACATCAATGCCAGCTTGGCAGTGGCACCGCTTACCTTTAGGAACAGCAGGTTTAACTGCCATTCTGCCAACCAGGCATTCTCTCAGCATGGATTCATAGTTGACCCAACGATGTACCTGGTATGGGATAAAAGTGACACAAAAGCACCATGACCAACTCCATGAGATGCTCTGATTTTATTCTATGCAAAACTAAACATTTTTTACATTGCTCTGAAAAGATGAAGAAGCAGATTCAACTTGCCAACAGGAGAGTGACAGAAAGGCAGCACACAGGGTAACGATGGTCTCGAAACGCTGTCTATAGACCTCTGGGGGTTCCTGATGCCTTTTCAGACACCCGCGAGGGCTCAATTAGTTTCAAAATACAAGGTGAGGCAGAAGTAATGCCTGCTTGAGTGTGGCTGGTAAGGTAATAATATGGGTGTAATAATTTATAGTTTTCATTTGAACATTTCACCTGAAATGTCATAGGGTGTGTTTGAGTGTGATATTGTTATGTTACAGAATTACACGCTTATAATTTTGTAATAAGAGACTTTGTAATTAAAAGGGGGGCGTTATTTGTGCCAGACCCTGTACACTAAAGTTTATTTGCCCTTTTCATTATGATGACATTTGTGTTGATGTAAAAAAAGCAATGGCTGCTAAAACTGCTTTCATCTTAGCACAAATTAAGGCAGTGATTTCCATCATCATATTCTTCACCAGACCCAAGGGAGGAAGGGTGGGGATTTAGTTTCATTTAAGAACATCCTTCATGAAGTAGAAAATACTATTAATTTTCTTTTTTATTTTTTTTAAATTGAATTTATTGGGATGATATTGGTTAATAAAGTTATATAGGTTTCAGGTATACGATTCTATAATGCGTCACCTGTGTATTATTATATCGTGCGTTCACCATCCCGAGACTCCTTCATCACCATTTATTCCCCCATACCCTCCTCTACCTCCCCCTCACTGCCTTTACCCCCTGGTAATCACCATACTGCTGTCTGTGTCTATGAGTTTTATGTATTTATTGTTTTGCTTGATCTCTTCGCCTTTTGCACGCAGACCCCCAAGTCTCCTCCCCTCTGACAGCTGTCAGTCTGTTCTCTGTATCTATGTTTCTGTTTCTACTTTGTTAAATTATTTTGTTCATTAGATTCCACATATAACTGAGATCATATGGTATTTGTCTTACTCAGTCTGATTGGCTTATTTCACTTAGCACAATAATCTTGATGTCAATTCATGCTGTTGCAAATAAGATTTTTATAGCCCAGTTAGTACTCCGCTGTGTACGTGTACCACAGCTTTTCACCCACTCTTCTGCTGATGTACATATGGGCTGCTTCCGAAGCTTTGCTACTGTTCTTAAATAGCAAGCAACCCTTGATTACAGGTCTCTTTTATATTCTGTGTGGCAAAATGGGAAGTTCTCAAAAACACTTCTACTGCAGAGCAAGACGACAGCCCTGAGGAAAAACACCAAAACAATTGTTGGATTTGCAAATTGATCTGAATTTCTTTCTTAAAAGCCTGTTCATGCTTACGAGGAAAAGAATGACCTATAAAACAAGTGGCTATTTGGACTCGAAGATCTGATAAGACATTTTCTTGAAAAAGAACAAAGTGAGATTGCCATTTCAAAAAAATAATGTAGAATATTTGTTGCCAGTCTTAGGGTGGGAATTAAATTTAAACAAACTTTCTGAAGGACACCTTCTCAATAGACATTAAAAGCCTAAAAATATGCAGCTCTTTCGTTAATTCAGAAATTCACCTGAGAAAATATCTCCATGTGTGCAAAGATATAAGTATGAGGATACTCATCACAGCACTGTTTCTATCATCAAAATGCTGGAAACAACCTAAATACCCAATTGTAAAAGACCAGTATAGAAAAATTATAATATACCACAATCTACCCATAAAATACTCTATAGTCACTAATAATCAGGTCAAATTATTCTGATGTCAGAATTTCTATGCATGTTCTTATACACTAAAATAGAAAATATATGAAATTACAGATGGACATTCATTTATTAACATTAGTTAAAATTTCACTTACGAAATACTTATGGCGCATCCAATAATGTGTGAAGCACCACCTCTGGGGCTATGGAGTGGGGTAGAATTTTAACTGATAGATGAAGGAGAAAGGTATTCAAGGAGGCACAGGTTGTGGCCTGTCAATCATGGAACTAGAGACTTGCTCAAAGCAAGATGAATATTGAGAATATTTATCTTCATACAGTCTTTTCAGGACCTCAGATAATGACTTTAAATTTATTCCACTGTCAATGATGAACTCTCCACGTTGGAGAACAAGGTATTAATACGACTGTCTTTAAGAATCCAGTAGTCCTGCCCTGGCCAGGTGGCTCAGTCAGTTGGAGCATTGCCCTGTACACCAAAAAAAGGTTGTGGGACTGATGGCTGTGGGACTGATCTCCAGTCAGGGCACATACCTAGCCTGTGGGGTCAGTCCCCAGTTGGGATGTGTACGGGAGGCAACTGATTATTAATGTTTCTGTCTCACATAGATATTTCTCTCCCTCTTTCCCCTTTCCTTCTCCCTAAAAATCAATAAACATACCCTGAGAACTTTAAAAGGAAAAAGTAAAGAATAAAGTAGCCCCCTCCATATCCACAGAGGATAAGTTACAAGACCACCTCCCCAAAGTGGATGCCTGAAACAGTGAAGAGTACTAAACTCTATACATTCTCTGTATTGTTATACCTACATATCTCTGATAAAGTTAAATTTATAAATTAGGCACAGTAAGAATTACCAATAACAAAAAATAAAATAGAAAAGTTACAATACTATAATAAAAGTTATGTGAGTATGGTTTCTCTCTCAAGTACCTGATCATACTGTACTCATCTTTTCACTTCCACGAAGGACTTGACGGCTTCTCTCTGGCACATAAGAACTGCCAGCATCACTACTCTCACGCTTTGGGGTCATTATTAAGTGACACAAGGGTTACCTGAACACAGCACTGTTACACCAGAGCAGCCGATCCAATGAGTCAGACCACTGCTACGTGACTCTCAGGTGGGAGTGTACACTGGGTGGATATGTTGGATAAGCCACATTTTGGTTGGGAGATTCTTATTACTGATTTAAGGCAAATGCCCATTGTGATTTGTTATTTGTTACTGCCTTGAAATGCAAGCCAAATAGAAAAGTTTGGGAACATTTTTCATTTCCATGAAAACTTGTCTGCCTTACCTTTATATCTGTCCTATAACACCTTGTACTCTTCTGCAAGAAGAATTTCCAGTATAATTTAGTTCTCTTCATATTCCTCAGTGTTGTGAGGTTACATGAACCTTATTTAAGCAAGCTTGTTACAACTATCACTCTGCTAAATCTGAGCGTACTTTTCCATTGTAATACTATGATTATTTTCAGCACCTTACCTGATCAAAAAGGTCCGTGCCATCTGACCCTGCTGCTCTCATTAGTTCATCTTCTCCACCAGGATGATACTCCATATATGGGCTGACATTATAAACAAGCCCTGTGTCAATGCAAGGAAAAATAATATCCTAAATGAACTTCCTGAAAACTGTACAAACTACAAAAGTTTTCCAATAAATCTTTCCAAATTCACCCTATTTATTATGTCAAAGACTTAAGAATACAAAGGGTCTCATATTTCTTCATACTTGCAAGCTAATAAGTTAGCCTGCCACTTTCATGGGTCCTGTAAGAAAACACAGGATTCCTAAGTCAGAGACATAGGACAGTTTAGTACCCAAATCAGTAGCAGCAGCTAGAATATCAGCAGGTACATCAGTTCTCTGAACCCAAACTCCCACAGAGCTATGTGAAGAGTGCTCGTTAGCCCTGGCTGGTGCAGCTCAGTGGATTGAGCGCGGGCCTATGAACCAGAGAATCGCGGTTTGATTACCAGTCACGGTACATGCCTGGGTTGCAGGCCAGTTCCCAGCGAGGGACAACCACACATTGATATTTCTCTCCCTCTCTCCTTCCTTTCCCCTCTAAAGATGAATAAATAAAATACTTAAAAAAAAAGAGTGCTGGTTAATACCTGTATACCAATGAGCTGCATGACACCAGAGAAATGCTGAGCTTAGAAAACTCAAATCTTTCATAATGGGCAGTTAGGTATGCCTGCCCTTTGTTCCACCCTTTGTTCCGAAAGGAGACATAATTTACTGAGAAGTAAGCAAACCTGTCAGAGGAAGACAGTAGCTCTCCTATCATCTGAAGTTGTTCACTATGCAAACATCCCTGAAAAGATTGTCCAGAACAGAGAGCGAATATCTCTGCTTCTAAGATACCACCATATCTCTACCCATCTCTCTCTCCCCCTCTCTTCCTTTCTCTCTCATTTCCACCCCATCTTCTACTGCCCTGATCGCAGAATCTGATGAAATAGAACTGAGCTCACATCATGGGTCCGATCACCTCAGGAAAGGCGGAGCAATGGTGACCGGGCCTCGTAGGCGTGCTCTGTGAAAGGGAGCACAATTCTTTTCTGCAGTTGCCCAAGGAACAAAGAGTATTGTTTAGATCTTAATTATTTTATCTTCTAAAAATATTCATTTAATCTGTTCATACATTTAACTGTAGTTTTATCTTTTCAGAAAAAAGAATAAGGAACGAATAGAGAATAGCCAATGCCCAGCCTTACCAAGGAAGTGCGCTGCTTTTTAACCCTTTACTTGTAACCTAATTAGGCAAATCCAGCCCTAAAGACTCTCACAAGTACAAGGACAATAACTGGTTTTCTCACATCTAGGACTATGCCCTGCGTAGACGATGACATCCATGAATTCAAATAACCTCAGACAACTTAAAATGTTCATCTCACATAATAATCTAGGCAGGAAAGGAAAAATTGCATTTCAGATTCAAGAAATCTACTGCAGTTTTTCTCGAATTTAATTTTAGAAAATAACCAACCAGTCAGGATTTCTTCATAAAATTTCTCAAAGGCAATTTAGGCAACAAAAAGAAATCACAAAAATCTCTTTCAGCAGTCCTCAAAATAAGTATGAACAAAAGAAAAAGAACTTCTGGAGTCCTCTTCTTTCTCCTTCCCATACACTTTTCCCCACCAAATTTAGAAAGAACTTGTTGTTTAGTCTTCCAAAATCCACACACCGGAAATGTCAGAGATAACAATTAGGGTTGAAATTACTCCCAATAGACTTTTTTAAAGGGAACGCCCCTCCAAACAAAAGAATTCCAAATTTTCTCTGCCACCAAACTTTGACGAGAGTTCCAGTTTCTCAAAAACATGAAATCCACGACACATGATCATCGCACCTTCTGTGATGGCGTTGCATGTGGTTCAGCAACCAGCAGGAAGGTAAACAGGCAGCTTTAACTTCTACCAATGATCAGCACATAAAGCCTGAAAGGTCCCACATGTGTTCTCTGCTTCCTGCAAACTCTTCAGATTGAGACTTATCCTCTCGGAATCTTCCTATCCTTTCTGATAGGCGGGGATCCAGAGCTAAAGAACCCCCCGGCCTCTTCAAAAGGACAAAACTAGGAACGCCTATAAAATCCCACACCTAAAACAAAAGCAAACTAAAAGGACAGCTAGATCAGGAGTGGAAACATAGAAATGAAGATCTCATGGAGGGTTAACAACAGTGGAGTGGGAGAAGGGGGGAGAAGGTACAGAAAATAAGTAGCATAGACAGTAGATAGAAAATAGATGGGGGGCAAGAATAGCATGGGAAATATAGAATCTAAAGGACTTGAGACACATGGTCATAAACTAAAGGGGGGTAATGGTGGGGATGGGGGTAGGGTGGAGGGGAATGAAGGGGGTAATAGAACAACTGTAACAGCATAATCAATCAATCAATCAATCAATCAATAAATCCCTCACTATAAGGAATTAAGACTGTTAGATCCAAGAGCACTTGGCAACCTCAGTGATTTACTTAAACCCCAACCCTGCAACTGGTGCACTTCCACTGGTCCCGAGGCTCTTTCTTCCCTTTTCTTCTTCCCTTTTACCTCCTTTTTTTCCTTTTCAAAAGTATTTCCTAACAACTAAAACTTGGACCCCTGAATGTGACAGCAGAAAACAAATTCAAAGAACTTCATTTTATGCTTTTCCTTCATGCTTTACTGTATCCTATTTGTACTATACACGGCCTTTAGACAGCACTATCTCCTGTGCAAGCTTTTTGCTTCCTATGAGCTCTTACTACCTGGTTTATAGAAACTGATTTTGCAACTCTAAATTTTGCAATGACACAAATTAACCTCTTCCCATAGCTCTTATGGCTCAGGAGTGGCAGATATGCACAAATGACTGCCCATTAAATATTAAAAAAATAGTATTTATGGACCCACACACACAATCTCAATTTGATGCTCAGTTATTAATTCACCAAAACCTAATAATGTCATTAAGAACAAACACAGGCAGAAACAGATTCATGAAACATCATTAATGCTGCTTTTAGATTATTTACATGGGTGACCTTCAGTGGCACAGGGAGAGTTAGGGAGTCTGTCTGTTTGTCTACCTATCTATATCTATCCTTTACACTAATACTTTACTTGGTTTTACATTTTGTTTTCCAAACTCTAACCAGAAGTAGATACAATAAAAGGAATGACCGCTGCTAAGAGAAGCAACTTAATTTCACAATATATACATATGCCAAACAATAATGTTGTACACCCTAAATTTATACAATGTTATTTTGTGGGAATAATATTTATACAATGTTATACAGTGAAACTGTGGGAAAAGTATTAAAACATAAGGGAAAAGAGAGGAGGAAAGGAGAGGGCAGCAGCAACTTATTAAAATTAAAATAAAGCAGTTCTGTTAAAAACTGTATTTAAACATACATGCTATAGGTATATTCTAGGTGCGTATGTTTAAACACCTGTATTTAAACATATACACTAAAGTTTAAATACATCATTTTAAATGCCCTAGCAATACTCAGGGGCACCTTTTACAGCTGACTCATCCTAGCAGAGCTGCACGGCAATTGAAAACACACATTCAGAACAACTATATTGAGCTCTTTAGGCAATGTACTGGTAATATCTATTCTAATATTTTCACACTAAATATCTCTTTTGTGTTATATGTCTTGGACATTGAGCTCTCAAATAAATTCTTAGAATAAGAATTACCCCCTTTAAAATTACTAGTCAGTGCTTTGCACTGTCAGAAATTGATACTTCTAATTCAATCAAAGAATGATAATTTTAAGGCTGAAAGAATTATAATGGCATTTTTAAACTGATCTCTCATTCGTTATAAACCTCTACAGAATCTATAGACAGACCACCATCCAGAATCTGCTTGAACAGTACATGAGCCTAGGAGCTCACTGCTTGTTTAAAAACTTAAAGAGCTGTGTCTGGTGCAGCTCAGTGGATTGAGTGGGGGCCTGCGAACCAAATGGTTGCCAGTTTGCTTCCCAGTCAGGGCACATGCCTGGGTTGCAGGCCAAGTCCCCAGTGTGGGGCACACAAGAGGCAACCATGCATTAATATTTCTCTCCCTCTCTTTCTCCTTCCCTTTCCCTCTCTCTAAAAATAAATAAAATCTTTAAAACAAAAAAGCTTAAAGAATCAACATTACCTTTATGCCTGAAAACTAAAATTGCCATTTTATACAGAAAGAACTCTTTCCCATCTTTGCAAATGCTGCCTCTAGTTTTTCACATATACTTTTTGTATTTATTGCAATTTAAATCCCAACTGCTACTGATAAAGACCATGGGCATCTTACAATAAAATATTTAAGTTTGTGTGTAACAGTTTAAAGAACCCACACCAAAACATGTAAAAGAAAAGAAAATACACTAGCTGCCTCACCTAGCTAACAATGTTACTACCACTGAGCATTAAACCTAGTCCTGAACTTCCTAGCAGTCAAAGCCAAAAGAGGCACTAGTAACAGTGCTCTCTTTATCTGAGCTTAAAAAAGCATTAGGAGGACATGAGCAAAAAGCAACAAAAGAGAGATTAGTCAGTTAGTCAAAATGGAGAAACTCTGGTGAGTGTTTGCTGTTGATACTGTGGAGAATCGTGAGTCCCCACGCAGGGGCCACTGACCACAACAGATACTACAACCTGACAATACGCAGAGACATTCTCCAGGTAGCATTCCTCCCACCCTCCCCAGCCCTAGGACACTGCTAATGTACTTTCTGCCTCTTCAGATTGCATACTTTGGGCATTTTATATAGATGGAATCACACAGTAGGTGGGTTTTTGTGCTTGCCTTCTTTCACTCAGTATTTTCAGTCCATCTAGTTGTTGCACGGATCAGTGCTTCGTTTCTTTTCATGGCTGAGTAACATTCCATGCGTGGATATGCCACACTTTGTTTATTCACTTATCAGTTCCTGAACATCTACGTTGTTTCCACTTTTTGGCTATTATAAATAATGCTGCTATGAACATTCATGTCCAGGTTTTTGTGTGGACATATATTTTTATTTCTTTTGAGTATGTACTTAGCAATGAATTTACTAGGTCACCTAGCGATCAATGTTG